ATTTAAATAGGTTCTTGTCAAAAATTGCCAGGGTGTGCTAAAACGTACTATAGTGTGACGTCATAATTTAATTACTGCGGTATTTATAAACTGTTAATTTAATTATGTTATTTTAAAGGTAAATTTTATATTTTGAATTAAAAAAAAACTTTTTTGTAAATACAAACCCACAATTGAAGGGGTAAGTGGATGTAGGGGTTAAGTTATATTTTTAATAATAAAGGAAGAATATTGTAATTTCAATACAAAAATTGTTATTTACTATTACAATATTTATCTATAAAGGTTTCATGTTATATTTAAATTAGAAAGTAGCAGAAAATAATACTGTGATTGTAAATACAAATATTTTTGTCCGTTATTGTTAAAAATGTTACTTAACCCCTTTATCTACTTGCACTTAAGTAAAGCTGGCTGTAAGTGTATTGCCAGATTTTAAATTATTGGTCTGGGCCAGCACCTGTTTATAAGGGATTGTAGTTGTACATAAACCGCAAATTTCGGAAACTTTTGACTGTACTATTAAAAAGTAATTTTGCTGAACAAAAAACTTTACTAATGTTTAGGTTTAATAAAACTTTATTTTCCTATATTTTTAAAATTTTATGAGTATCTAAAATAAAATCTTAAAAAAAAAATATTTGAACAGCAAAATACATACCTACACAAATATCATTTGTTTTTCACGAATAATTTTATTTCAAAACTTTCATATTGGATCACACACAAAAACAACTTAGAAAATGTATTTGACAAGATGTGTAATAAAATATGTTTGTTCAGGTCCCAGTAAGTATCCTTTACGTTGGTGAGTAACAAGTAACAAGAAGCTCGTTCTTTAGTTTTGAAGTATTACTTAAGTTTTTTAGAATTATTTATTTACCCATTTTTATATCCCTCTATCAACCCTGTCATAAGGCATAAGGTTAGCACCAGTATTCAGTAAATATTTTAACAAACATAATTACCAATAATGTAAAAAAAATTGTAGTTTTTCATTTTAGTTTTAAATTGTACTATTTATTAGATATTTATTTCATACTGTATCATTTAACCAATGTAAATTTGGGTCAGAAAATTACATTTTCCTGGCTAAAATAAAAACATTTTTGATTTTTTGAGAAAGTTTGAGACACCAGTTTTATACTTGAGAATACTTGAGAAACCATTTTAAGTGAATTTAAAATGCATAAATAAAAATAGCTAAAATCTTGTGAGTAGCTTCTCTGATAAAAACCGTTGAGAATTTTTAGATATATTGTTTATAAAATTTTAAAACAATTTGTTAATTAGACAATATTTCTCTATTAGAAAATTATATCTTTAATGTTTTTTTCTGGGAAATTGGTTAAAAACATGCAGTATACGTCTGCAACACTTATCTAATCACGTTAACGCGGCACCTCATCATTAAATATAGTTAAAACACAGGGGCCCACAAAGGCATTTCGAGACTCAGGGCAAAAAAATGTCGGCCCCAATTTCCAAAACTTCTATAAAACTGTTAAACCTATTTTTTTAACCTACAGTTATAAATTTTTGATCTGTCCAATAATACATTAACTTTATACTCGTAACTTTAATATTTTAAGAATCAATAAAAAACGTTAAAATAATTTTAGTTTTCTTAATATACACTCACAGGCAAAATAATCGATCCACACAAATTTTCGATGAATTTCAATCGCAAATAACTTGTTTATTTGATGTCGGATTTAAACGGATATTAAAGAATATCGTAGATAAATTAGTGGACAATCGCTCACATTTAAAAAAATTACTAAAAAATAGACGTACGTTTATAATATACAGGTTTAAACAAAAATATATTTTTTACCATAAGTTTAAGACACTCTGTAGAGTGGAAAAACCGTATATTGTTCTAAATTAAGTTTTATTTATCAAGTCACATCTACTCTTAACAGTTTTGTTTTTGGTTCACCTCGATATATTTATTTTTGTGGAAAATATGGATTTAAAAAAAAAACATTGCAATTTCCAATATTCTTCTGTATGAAGAACTAAGGTTGCTATGGTCCATCCATAGGCTATGGAGAATGACAGTGACAGTTTTGTTGAATCATCCCATACTTGGACATGTCATACACGGCTTTCAAAAGCTATCAAATTGTTTTTTGCAAATTAATGTTTAAATTTTGAGGTGTCTTCTTACTTTAAAAAATGGATATGTCTCCGACTGATGTTGCCAGAGCCATTAATTTAATCCAGGATGGACGGTCACAGTATTACGTGGCAAGTGTTTTAAACGTCACAAGAAGTAAAGTTCAGAGGGTAACATCAGTCAGAGACATTTTTAAAAGTAACAAGACACCTCAAATTAACACATTAATTTACAAAAAACAATTTCATAGCTTTTGAAAGATGTATATGACATGTCCAAGTATGGGATGATTCAACAAAACTGTCACTGTCATCATCCATAGGCTATGGATAGCAACCTTAGTTCTTCATACAGGAAAAGATTGGAAATTGCAATGTTTTTTTTTTTTTAAATCCATATTTTCCACAAAAATAAATATATCAAGATAAACCAAAAACAAAACTGTTTAAAATAGATGTGACTTAATTTAGAACAATATATGTTAGTAATTTTTAAAATATGAGCGATTCTCGAAATTTGTGTGGATCGATTATTTTGGCTGTGAGTGTACTTATATCGAAAACTCAATAGTTTCAGAAATACAAAGTGTTAAAATTGGGCAACAGCATATTTTTGGGTTTTTCAATTTTAGTGATCAACTTCCTACCTTTTGGTTCTAAAGTATTTTTGTAGGAAAACAATATTACAAAAAACCTTTTACCCTTTTGCTCTGACAACCTACATAAAATGAAGTTTTTATCGTCGTAGGGCGCCATTGCTGTCAAATTCGCACCTGTTGGTTAAATAGTTTAAGGAAAAACCGGAATATTAATCCGATATTTTAGATACCTAAATGACAGTTTTAAGGCAGTTCTAGGATATGTTTAGTTTGGTTATACCAAATTTTAAGATATTTTAGTACAGTTTTTATAGAGGTAAAAAATAGTTGTAGGATTTTTTAGACAGTTAATTTTAGAACACTGTTTCAAAATATATTTTAGTTATATCATGTTTTCTGATAATTTTAAAATAGTTGAACTAAAAGTTTAAAAAAAAAATTAACTAAAATTTTAGGGCAGCTTTAAAAAAATAGTATTATTACAGGGCTAAAAGCTGGTTAATGTCATTTTCTGATTCAAAAAATAGCAGGTTAAATGTTACTGTATAAATTCAATCATTTTTCTAGCATGTAGTATTTTTTAAATTTTCTTAATAATATTTATTATATTTCCAAACTAAATAAAATTGTAGATTTTATTAAGAAGCTAGCTTTTAATATTGTAGATTTAGCACTATACATTTCTACAAAAATTTGTACATTATTCTTTTTATTAAAATGTATGAATTTTATTACCATTTCTGTGGGTAAAAGGGATAAGTCAAAAAAATGAATTTTTTAGCAGTGCCTTAAACGTATTCGCATTAATTTAGGAAATACATTTATAGGTAGTTAGCGGGTATACCCTTTTGCCAGCACATGTCATGTGCTAGCAAAAGGGTATCCTCGCTAACCATAAATATATTTCCTGAATAATGCGAACACTTTTAAGTCACCATCGAAAAATTGCTATTTTGACTTATCCCCTTATGCCTTTTACCCACAGATTTACTTGGTTATTTAAATTAATAGACCACAGCAAGTACTAAACTATATTATATAAAATAATAAGAGTATAATAATTATTATAATAAATCTTTTGGAATTTTATAGTTTTATACAGCTAAGTAATACACGGTGCTGTTCTGAGAGGTGATTTTTGGACTTTCTGTGAAACCTATTTTTTTTATATTCTTGTTAATTAGGTCATAACTAAAATTTTAAGAGCAAAATAAAAAAAAATTGACGGTTATTTTGTTTTAATTGGATGTTTATTAAAAATATGTATGCACACTTTCAATTCTCCAATTAAAACTTGCGATTTAAACTTTTTAAATCAGATTAAAGATTAGTTAATTTCCTTAAAAAAGGTCTATACATTTTTTATATCTTTTACTGTTTTGTTGTAATACACGTTTAAAGTTTTAATTTAAGGTTAAATGTATAGTATACATTTATTAAACAATAATTCTAAGGGTGCCACATTTTATTTAGGGCCGATTTATTCATTTTTGATTTACTTGACGAATAATTTCTTTGGATACTAGTTATTGCCAAGACATGAAAGTTATCGGCCCGATAAACTTTACTAAAGATGAATAAACTGGTCCTTATAAGGACTATTCAAACGTCAAATAAATTTTTAATAGATCTAAGTTTCCTGGAACCTTTAAGTATATATAAATTAAGGGAACATAAATGTATACGTCAAAGGTTAGATTAAAAGTTTGAACGTGTATTGCAACAAAACAGTAAAATATATAAAAAAAATTGTAAAAACCTTTTTTTTAGTTATGCAAATATTAAATATTTAAATTAAATCGCTAGTTTTAATTGGATAATTGAAAAAGTGCATAATATTATTAATAAACAGCCAATTAAAACAATTCAAATCGTCAATTTTTTTTTATTTTGCTCTTAAAATTTTAGTTATGAACCAATTAACAAAAATATAAAAAAAAATTATGTTTCAGGTCCAAAAATCACCTCTCAGAACTGCACCGTGAATATGTAATTTTTATTTTATTAACTTCGCTTTAAAATCAAAAAATCCATTTAAATTTTATTTAAAAACATTATGATAAAAATGTTTTTATATAAAAATGCTTGATAAATATTATACACATATAAAATTATAAGATATAAAACGGTTTATAATCAAAACTCGAGGTCTTATTATTTCGAATAACCATGTATTCACATTACATGCCTGTGTAGTATATCACATAAATATTAATAATAAATAAATATATAGAAAAAAAATATATATATATATCATACTCCAATCAAACATATTTTCCAGGTTGATTATTTTTTTATTGATTGCCTCTTTTAGATACTTATTTTTAGTGCATGAAACGCTAGATTTTGAAACGTAATACATAAATATCATTGAAATCTTTGGAAATATTCCGGCGAACTTAAACGTGTCGAATATGGAATATTATGTTGATTATTATCATTCGTTATGATATAGTTATCCATTATTTTTCTCACCAGTTTTTGTTTGTATTTATTCCATATTTTTTCCTGTAGAAAATCTGTTTGCACCTTCTCTTTGTTTGGTATACTTCTGTTTAAATATCCTAAGTATATAAAGGACCTTAGATTAAAAGACACAAATATATCTTAGACCAAACAAACCTATGAGTATGCTCCAAGCGTTGTTAGTATTTTGATGTTGAAGCCATAGTTGCGGTATCAACAGGAGATGCGTTTTTGTTTTTGTTACCACAAGTCTATCGAACAAATTTTCTCCAATATTAAAGCAACTTAAAGGTCTGTATTCGCAAACATTAACGAAATGAATGCCTTTGTGGCTTTCCTGAAAAGAGGGTCGTTTTGTTTCGCTGTTTTCTTCATCAGGTTCTTTTGATAGGGCTGCGAGGGCTGCCAGAGCTCTATTTATTATTTCGGTAGCTTAAAAATACACAAGTTTAATATCATACCATAGGGTGACACTCTACATACAGTGTGTCCCACCGAAAACTTTCAATGGCCAATATCTTTAAAAGGAAAATAGATAACAAAAAAATGAAAAGCCCGTTTCGAGGGTTCGAAGGGAGAACCAAAACAAGGCACCTTTAAACTCACCCCGATCTACCACAACAGGGGTAGCAACCCCAACTTCAAAATTTTCAATGGCACTATAGGTCATGTGATAACTTGTTCGAAAGGTCTTTTAATTCTCTAAACGATTCTGCAAAAAATATTAATGCAACTTTAAATATTTCTCTAATTTTAATAAAAAAACTTTGATCGAGTGCAATTAATAAAAATTGCAATTATTATAAGTAAAATATTTTAATTAATTAATTAAATGTTCAAAATGTTTTCCATTATTCTGAAGACAATGGTAAAGACGATTTTCAAATTCTTGTCGTACTTTTTCTAAAGTTTCTGGTGTGATGTTTTGGCATGCTTCAACTATTCGATGTCGTAAATCTTCTAACGACTCAGGTGGAGTCTGATAAACTACATACTTAATGTATCCCCATAAATAAAAGTCCAAAGGGGTTAAATCTGGTGATCTTGGGGGCCACTCTAACGGTCCTCTTCGGCCAATCCATTTGCCAGGAAAACGTAAGTTGAGCCAATTTCTGACTGGCAATGCATAATGAGGTGGTGCTCCGTCTTGTTGAAAGTGAAGGTTCTCCTCACTAAGCATGGGGTTTCCATCCCTATCTCTCTGATTTTCGAGTTCTTCTGTAATTAATACATCAATAGTTTCTTCCAGCAAGTTTAGATAGATATCTCCCGTAAGATTTCCTTCAATGAAAATTGGGCCAATAATTTTATTTCCCAAAATGCCGGCCCACACATTTAATTTTTGAGGGTGCTGAATATCTTTCTCTACAAAAATGTGAGGATTGTTATCACTCCAGTACCTACAATTTTGCTTATTGATCTGTCCATTTAGGAAAAACGTGCATTCGTCGCTGAAACAAATATTTTGAATAAGTGTAGGGTCTTCATTTATTCTCGCCGTTATAACTTCACAAAATTCGACTCTTCGATCTGGATCTTCATCGTATAACGCTTGTAAAGCTTTTATTTTATAAGGGTGAAACTTATGTTTTTTAAGTACTCTCCAAACAGAATTTTTAGAAAGGCCTGTTTCTCTAGATACTTGCCGAAGTGAAATGGAAGGAGAAATTGCAAACTGGCCGAGTACCTAAAATTATTCTAATTAGTTTTAAGGCATTATGCTTAAAATTTGTGCAGAGTTCAAAATAAAAAAATATATTTACCTTTATTTGAGCATTCTCTGCAAGGATGCGAGGTTGTTCCCTTTTTTTATTCTTTACGGATCCAGTTTCTCTAAATTTGGCCACAATATTGTTAACATGAGTATAGGACAAGTTTTTATCTGGATGTCTCACTCGAAACTCCGCAGCAGTCCTGTAGGCAGATTGATTTTGTGCACCATAAATAAAAATTATTTCGATACGTTCTTCCAAACTGTACACCATTTCGCAAAAATTTTCTTTCAGAGAGTATACTCAGGTAATGATTTTATTGAATGGTATACTAATACATTTTAACAGCATAACAGCAAAAAATTAAACTTTTTTTATTGGATTGATAAAAATAATACACTAAGATGCAGTAAAAAGGGGTTTAAAAGAACAAAATCTTTATTTTTTTTTTCAAAATCTTAAACAATTTTACTTATTACGTTAACATTCGATTTCCCATCACATTTACTAATTGCACCCGATCAAATGAGTTTTTTTGTCAAAATTAGAGAAAAATTTAAAGTTACATTAAGATTTTCTGCAGAATCGTTTAGAGAATTAAAAGACCTTTCGAACAAGGTATCCCATGACCTATAGTGCCATTGAAGATTTTGAAGTTGGGGTTGCTACCCCTGCTGGGGTAGATCGGGGTGAGTTCAAAGGTGCCTTGTTTTGGTTCCCCCTTCGAACCCTCGACACGGGTTTTTCATTTTTTTTCTATCTATTCTACTTTTAAAGGTATTGGCCATTGAAAGTTTTCGGTGGGACACACTGTATATCCATTTTCTAATAATTTAATAATACATTGAAATTCGCTTTTGAAGGTGGCGCACACACGTTCTCATCATAGATCTGCTTCACTTATCTATGTACAGACAAAATTACAAACTAAGGTCTGGAGATGGAAGAGGGTTTTGGAACATAAAGGGGCCTGAGTTAAAAATTACATCAAGAAAGATCAGTATAAAATTATTTTTCGCAACGTAAAACAAATAATGACTACTGTTACAGTACAGATCGTCCAATAATCGTTGTATTTAAATATGAACAGTCTTTACAAAAGAAAATACAAACTGAATCTGCAGATGGGGGCCTATAAAACATGAAGGGGAAGCCTTTACACCCAAATTAAAGATTACATTAGGAAAGACGGATATTACTTGGGTCACTTGATTTTTTCAATGTGAAACAATTGATGGCCTATGGTGTATAAGAACAACTTCCATGTTAAGCAAAAATGCCTTATCTACAATATTAAGTAATTAAAGACAAAAGATAATTTTAATTTTTTACAAGTTTTTTAAAGCATTTTTGCCTAAGCTGCACTTATACTCCTTTTATAGTAAGGCACTTAACTACGGTTTCGCGAAAGGATCGATTTGCAAGGGTTCAAGAAATCGATTGGAACTTTTTTACCTTGTTTCTACATCTAAATGCAGTACCTACTTCATCTTGTCCATTGACAACTTTGTTTTTTTTTTCTTTTTTTTTTCACTGTTAAAAATAAAGAAATTTAATTTTTTTTTAAATAACTTTTTTATTTCAACACGTGTGTTTAGATTTTAACGTACACGGGGCGCTGGTGTTAATTTAATTTAAAATTTCAAAAATTTTAAAGGGTAAATAATCCAAGAAGCAACTTTGTTTTATAAATTTAAGTACAACACGTTGAAGTTTATATATTTGACTATTAGTTGATATATTAACTTTTTTTATGCAAATGATGTTTCTGTGGCCAGGCTCAGTTTTGAATTAGCAGTAGCAGTATTAATAAATATTTAGTTTAGTACATTTTGTCATTTTTATACAAATATTGTTGTATCTTTTATTAATAATTAAGTATAGCATAACACATAAATGACGTTTAATATACAGGGTGTTTCACGTACTTATACGTATAGTACGTTAGAAGTTTCTAGGGAATCGCAAAAGACATCGATTTAAAATTTTTCGATTTAGATTTTTTTCCTAAATTATTTTGAACAAAATAATACTTCCTGTTTTATTATTTTAAACAGGACACCTCATATATTTTTACATTTTTGAATTCTACATAAAATTCTGAGTAAAATGGCTATACCATATCCTATACCTCAAGTCAATATTTTTCAAGTTTTTCAATCAAATATTTTAATTAATTTTAAACAATGACAGATTAAGTGTTAACCATGGATACTGTCACATTAACCCACATGTAGAATTTCACAGGTTTCCCAACTAGCAAAATAAATCCCTTAAAGAACTGAATTGTTTTATAACTATCGTCTAGAGCTGCAAAAAGAACATTTTTATTGTTTAATGCGTCTTAATACAATAATTTTATCGTAAAAACTACGAAATTCTAATACATTATTGTATATATATTCTTACAACTCGTGTTATAGAACCAAACTCATACACATTTTTTAACCATTGTATAACGTTTTATACAATCCCTTATAAAATTATTTTAAAAGAGTTGTATAAAAGTTATAATAGAGTTGTATACCTATTATTATACTTGTAGTTTCAACGTTTTATGATAGTTGTAATAGAATTTGTATAAAAGTTGTATTGAAGCTCTATAAGATACATTAAAAAATTGTTTTTTTAAGCAGAAGTAAACACACTACACAATAAGTATAAAGTTAGTTTATAATTATCCTATAACTACACCGATTAACTTCATTATAGAAAGTTTATAAAATAAAATTATCGCAAGTTCTGCGTTATAATTTTATTACTTAAGTCTGTTTATACATTTAGTGTCTTATTACGCCAAAATAAGTTAAGTATTTTTTTAAAATGGAGTCGCAATGGAAAAAAATTAAGAAAAGTGGGCATTTAAAAAAAAAAAAATAGGTTAGGTCACATGTAGATAAAGAAGGTACCGCTAAAAAGTGGATAAAACAGAACACAATTGTATAGTGCGGTACAATGCATACCTTAAGCGATATTATTGTTCTATTGCGCAGTAGGCAAAGGCGTTATAGCCAATACGAAAAATGAACTTACAGGGTTGTTATTTTATGCAGCAGTGTTACCTACAAATCCTTATTTGCATAAAAAATGAAGGTAACGTCGTGCAGGATAAATAAAATTTTACTTGATGTACCTAACTGCACCAAAAATGAGTATTTTATTCTAAAAAAAAACAAATAATTTGAAAAATACAGATAAAATCTGGCAACATCTCAAATGTCAGTTTCTTGCTTTACTTTTATAGCGCCTGTATTAAACAACTTTACAGAACCTAAATATCGTATAACGCACGCGACAGAGCAGATAAATTGTATAACGTTTTTATAAAGACAAAACCATTTTATAACAAAAACGCCATATTTATTGACCGACCAATTGTTTATAAATCGCCGCCATTGTGTGAATTTTACCAACAAACGTTAAAACTGTCAATTAAAAATGAATTTTCTTGAAAAAAATTAATGTAATCTTAAGACTAGTCAATTATAAACTGAACAAATAAAACAATAATATTCTTAAAAAACATGAAACTTTGTCAAATAAAAAATTAATTTTTTTTTTAAATAATTTTTAGTAGGTATGTTTGTTAACTGGCGCTTTAATTTTTCGTTAAAAATATATACATATATTGTCAGAAAAGATTGCTCCGCAGGAAGATGTTGTCCTCGATAGCGTAAATCTCAAAGGTTTAATAATTATATTTACATAATAAACAACAAGCACCATTTTGGATCTTAGCCGTTTGACATCCAACATAATTCGCATTATAAAATAGTCTTAGGATAAAAATTTCCCATTCCATTCCTAATTTCTAGAGAAGGAAACAAATTGATGTTCTTATAACGATTCTGTCGCATTATAACATACTTATAAAATGCTTGTTTTAATATTCTATAAATATTCGTGAAGTGCAATTAAGCTGCAGAGTAAAACCGCTATAGTATAATCGTATAGCAGTTCCCCAGTATACTGATACTGAGTTTTATAAGGGTTGTGTAGTGTATTTATATAACTGCTAACGAAGTAAACTGTTTTATAAAACGGGGCCCTTTTTGGTTGAGTTATTGTTGTATAGTAGTTTTTAAACGCATTATACAATTTTAGCGTTTCTATAATATGTGTTGTATAGCAGTTCTAACAACACTTACATAATCAATTTTGTTAGCTGGGTTGTTGATACAAAATAGTTTTGAAAATATTAGAAATTGTTAAATGTCTCTGAAATTTTAACTTTAGGAAACATGCAGTTATTATAATATTTGATTATGTTAAAACATACAGGGTTTTACATTTATAATGAAAACGTTATTATTGTTTGAAGTTTGCCTAATTTCAAGTGTTATTTCTCAAGATATTTGTTGAAAAACTTAAAAAATTAAATTATTTAAACAATCTTTTAATATTCCAAAAATTCCAACTCCATGTCAGCAAACCTAATATCAAAAAAAATTAGAGGCTATTTTTGATTGACGCGCAATTAGCAAAATTTTAACGAAAAAAATTAATATCTTGAAAACTATTGACTTTAGGTAGAGTCTAAATCAAATTGTATAGGTCCGCTATTAAAATTTTACCCATATTGTTTGTGTTTCTTCAGAAACAACCTGCATAGCATTATATTAAATATAAAAAAATGCAAAATACCTAATTACAAAAAAGCGAAAAACAATTGAATAAAAAATATACATATCTAAATAGGCGATCACAACATAAAAAATAAAGTCTTTATTCTAATTTATTTATTCGGTAAATATTACTTTCCTCAGTTTGGAATTAAAATTGAAGCTTGTTTATCGATTAAAAAAATAAATTGAAGCTTGGTTGTGGAGCAAAAAATAAAATTAAAGTAGGTTATAATTTCTAACTTGCTGACACTGTCTATAATTATTATTAAGTTTATACATTTTATTAAATTAATGTTTTGGATTTTTAGTACACTTGAAGTACAATTGAAACGTTATCAGTCAACTTATACGAGTAAACTGAACTGTCATATTATCTTTCATGCTTCCAATGGTAGGTTACCATAGAGAAAAGTCTGATGCCTACTATGATCAAAATTAGTAAACTTGAAAAAAAAAATATTTATAAATAAAAGTAATTTTATTTATTATTTAAGTAATGTTATAATAATTTAAGAATTGTATGTAATATATAATGTATTATATGTAATATAATATAGTACATTATCTTATAAAACTAGATAAAAGAATATATACTTTTTATTTCCACCTTCATAGTAAATGACATTTTATAGGTTAATTTTGTTGTTTTTGTATCCATGTAAAGGATAAATTATGGAAACAGACCTGTAATATTTTACAGGCTTGTATAAAGGACCTGTAAAGTTTTACAGGCTTGTAGAAAAGCAATTTATGTAATGAAATGTCACATTTGACATATTAATTAATATTTTAAATTTGAAAATCGTTATCTAAAGGTGAAAATAAAAGTTTGTACGAGTCACGCTTTGCAATTAATCTTTACTAGACTTACTGGATTATGGTGTTCGCTCCTGCGTCGCTCACCCCACAAACTTCCAGCTCGCCCGTAAAGATTCATTTACAAAGCTTGACACGTAAATAACTATTAAAACACGTTATTATTATGCCCTTTGAAGGCCTAACTTAAAAATGATGTCTCTCGTAGAAACATAATTGCATGTAGAAGTTTATATATGAAATAATAGTTAATTATTAGTACTTTAACGTGATATACTCAAAATTATCAAACAACGTTGCTTCTTTGATTTTTAACCCTTAAAAATAGTACAATTTTAAATTAAATTGTCCCCAGCGCCTCCTGTATATTAAAATACGTGGATATAGCCACGTGGACATATAGTAATTAATAAGGTATACATTTTATCTTAATTTCAAATCGATACGTTTTTAAATAAAAATGTTAGGCCTAAAAATACAGCGGTCAATAGATGAATTTTTTTTTAATGCACCATTTAGATGTAGAAACAAGGTTAAAAATATATTCAATTCTAGCATCACTTTCAAACAAATGTCCAAAATTTATTCGATTTTTACGCGAAACCATAGTTAATTGATAAAAACTATACATTTACGAGAAAAAGAAAATTTTGATGATGGTGATGATTATTAAGAAATGGGTATGAGGAAACATGTTTACCTCTTTGTGCAGGATCCATATTTTTCATTTCTTTGTGGAGTGTTTCTCTAGCTCTGGCATCTATTATATCCCTACTTTTTTGACTGCTTTGACTTGCGGTGGATGCTTTTTTGTTTTTGTGTTTTTTAGGCGCCAATGTGTTAACTTGATCCATCAAGTAGCAAACTCCACTGATAACAAAAAATGTGTATTCTTTAAGGGGATGGGTGGGCGAGAGTATAACCTAAAAATTAAGGAAAGTTAAGTTTACCTTCCCATGTTTAAATTCTTACTGTATTTGCTGGAAAAGACTTCCATTTTGCCAAAATTGAGCAAACCCTCTTAGTATCCGAATTCCAGTATCTAATATACTTAAACCTATTATAGTTCATGGCCATCTTCTGATAAGTGTTTCTAAAACTCTTCTTCAGAAGCCTATCGAAATTGGGTTTACTCAGATAGAACAGTTCGCATGGTGTTGTGGTTGTAGCTGTCAAACTTCTCGGCACGTTCGACATCACGTTAACTATGCCTATTGCGTATCCAGAATGCATGTGACCAAAGGCTGCTACATTTGTGCTGTGTTTTAGGTAGTCGAAGTATCGGTAGAGTCCCCTGGATTCGCCGTTGAGCACCACGTAAATAGCTGAAGGGGGATCATCTTCAAAAAAGGAAATTACGAACTTCATCATAATCTTTATTTAAAATTTACCTTGAGCGTAAATCGTTCTCCCTGTAGGAAAAAACTGAAACTCCAATACCCTGGCCAGCTCCTCCAAAGTCTCATCATCGTACTTCTTAAAGAACTTGTTCGTGGGCAGTATCCTTTTTAATTCTTGTATTTCTTCTTCTGTTCTGTTTTCAGTTGTTTTTAACATTGTGGCTTTGTGCCTTTTGGCAATCAAACTTAAAGTTTGCTTCTTGGTTTTGCCTACCAACATTCTTTGAATATTTTGCATGACATTGTCCCCAATATCGCCAGAATCTGAGTCATCTATCCAGCTTCTATGGAAGAGGATGAGGCTTACAAGGGCTCTAAAACGTTAAAAAAAGAAATAGAGTGGAGAGAAAAGTTAAACATATATTTTGTATAAAAAACACCGTTTTATACTAAATTAAATCTGCTACTTTGGTGTTAAAGCAATCTATACATTGCTCTAACATGCGTTGGATCATAAAAACCTGTTCAAAAACGTATCTACTAAGTTACAAAAGAATGTGTGTATTAGGCCGGAGTGGAAAAATGTTTTTTATAATTTTTAAAAGTTGCATTTTAAGACATATTTTGTGTGCAAAATTTGAATTACATATGACGTCATGTTCAGATTCGTAGAGAACACCAAATTTGCAAAGTTTTAAAATTTATAAAAAAAGACAGTTATGCCTTTGAATAAAAGAAGTTTGTTTTTGGGACAAATATTTCGTACCTATGCAATTTGAGTTACATAAGGTGTCATTTTTAGGTTTCTAGATGCCATTAAAATTGAAAATATTGGCCAAAATAAAACTTTTGGGCAATGAACTTCCTGAAAATTCAAATTTATTTATATTTTCATTCGAAATAGGAACTAAAAACCTATTTAAGGAATATCATATTTTGAGGAATTGTTGTTAGTGATTAAATGTAACTTTTTGTTTAAATGTAGGAAACTCAAGACCCTTTCTGACTTTAAATTTTTGGGGTCCCAAATACAACTTTATGTTATTAGGTAGGGGAGAAACCAGATTTTTCTTCTTCAAATATAAGTACTCCTGACTAGTTGATTTACATTATTTTTGTTTTATTTTTATTTTATTTGGCATGTGCTATGCTCCACACACGTCCCACTTTGACATTTAATGAGGAATGCATTTTTTTTTAACTGGCAATTTAAGGTATTTTTGGTTATTTAGGTTATTTACCTAAAGAACAAAGAACTTCTTTATTTACCTGTCAAAGTATTGTCAACGAAATAAATCATAAATAATAGTATATTGTGCGACTATACTCCCACTATAGTGGGAGACCAAGAGCCGCACACGATATTTTATTCAACAACCACAAAGAATTTAAAGCTCATTAAATCTTACATCTGACAGCTGTAATTTAGTTGGAACTTAAATTTACGACATTCTTTTTCTATGAAAGAAGTTCAACTCCTTTTAATAAATACTGTTAGGTAAACCTTTTTTAAAAAGAAAACTAAATGCAGTACCTATTTATTGTTTTAAATTGTTATCATAAATATCACATTACAAAAATAAATAATAAAAATTTTGAATCAAGTCAAAGTGCGACTTCGTGTGTGGAGTATAGTACGAGTAGATCATATCTATGGAGTAGATGTGTAAAGTCTTAAACAGACATGCATGCATTTTGACTAAGTTACGCAAGTATGATTTATAAAGCCGCACATGCGCATATTAGAAACTTCTTTTCCCATTTAATTTGACTATTCATAAAAGAAATTACAAAAGAAACATATTTCTACTACATTTATGTTTTTGCTGTCTCGTCAAATTATTTTTTAATTTTTTATCAGGAAATTTGAACTTAACAGATGATTGGAGTTTCAGTCGTGTTAAATTCTTTAAATTAATGCATGCCATTCTTGAAGTTGCTTTTCGGTAAATTCTTGTTCACCCTCTAGGCTCTAGGGACGTGGTCTTTGAAATTTTGACATAATATAATCATATGACTCTAAACTACCGGCTTCACTTACCGTAATTAGTATCAATGATGTTCCAGATGATAGACATGCTAAAAAAACACTACTTTTAGCAATTAGCAACAAACGCGTACGTCTTAACAGTTCTACGTCTTGACAGTTCTAGAACTATAAGGTATTAATATAATATAATACGTAGATTGCATACTTAAGTGCAACCATAGATAATAAATCATGGTTAAGTTTCAATCAGTGTCAAGCTAATTTCGTCTTATTTTTCAAATATATGCAATACATGTATTTTTGGTTCTAAAGGTCTTAATTTAGAACACAAAACATACATACCGTAAACACGGGTGGATTTGCACCCCGCGGGTGAGTTTCACCCTTTTATGAAAAATCTTTTCGCGCTCTATAAAATTAATTTAATTTGTTTGTCTAAACCTGTCAATAGAACGATTCTATTAAGTTTATATTACAGGAAAATCAGTGTTTTAAAGAAATAAATGGGATTTATTACACTTTAATATTGTACGAGGTGTGTTCAGAAAATATCGGGAATTTTCGTTTTTTGAAACAAATATTTATTTATTCGTCTACATTAATGTTGTCGCCTTCAAAATAGTCCCCATTGGATATTGCTGGCACATGTGCCAGCTCTTCTTCAAATACTCGAAACACTTTTAAAACTCGATCTTTGGGATAGCCTTTAGTTCTTTCAGCGATTCGCTTTTAATGTCATCTATGCCTGCAAAACGACGGCCCTTTAAGGTTCTCTTTAATTTTGGGAATAGGAAAAAGTCAGACAGAGGCATGTCTGGCGAATATGGAGGCTGGGGCATCATTACAGTATTGTTTTTGGCCAAAAAAACATTCGAAAAAAATGCATGGGATGAGCCAATCGATACACCAACATCATCAGCGACTTCTCAGATGGTTTATAACCATTTCTTCCACTTTTTCCATGTTTTTATCAGTTGTTAATGTGCTTGTGCGTTCGGGGCGTTCGTCATCTTCAACGTCTTCACGGCTATCTTGGAAACTCTTATACCACTCTTGTTTAACTTATAGCAGACTCACTATAGGCCTTTGTTAACATTTCACAGAATTTATTTAATTTTTTAAGCAAAATTGGATACAAATTCTTTGATCCATTTCATTCGAACGAACAAAAATCGCCGAGCTCATAAAACACGTCTAACTTTAGCGGCTGCCACAGACAAAGTAAACAATGAAAACAGCTAAAGTTTTTATCATACTTCGGAGGCATGTATACTATACATTGTAAAGCAACATAATAAAGAAAATTGTATGACAACCGGACCCTCCGAACCCGCGAAATTTAACAATTCCCGTTATTTTCTGAACACACCTCGTATATATTGCATCAGTGCAAAACTAAACGAGTTACAATTTCTATATTATGTACAATCCTTTGGAATAATGATCCTTGGTTAACTACAGGTCGATTTTTTATTTTTTTTATCGGTAATCCCTTGCAATCGCTATATGTCGCTGCTAACATTTGTCTAATAAAAATAAAATAAAATATTGAGTTAATTTTATACGGAAAATACACTGTGAGACAAAATTACCCGCAACCAGGGGGTAACTTTGCACACCCAGTTTTTAATTTTTATTTTTGAAACTCAGCCCGTTGTAATATTATAACATAGTTATTTTGAAAGAGACATAAATTTTGGTATACCATATTTGAGGAGCATCCGTGCAAAACCGGCTATATCAACTTTAATAAAATGTTGGGGAAATGGCAAAAACTCTCGGTTTCCTGGCCTTTACAGATAAAAGAAAAAGCAAACTTGAGTTTTGTGGGCTTTGTGGTACTTTATTTATAAGACATACTTTCGTTTTCAAAAACTTTATATTAAGGCCAAAATTTCAAAAAATGTTTTGTATATAGCCGGTTTTGCTCATAAACGAATAAAATGTGAAAAAAAACCTTTAATATTCAAAAATATTAACAAAATAAATTTAGTGCAAACATGAAAAAACAGAACAAATTTTAGTAGTAGTATCGACATATCCAAGCCACAAGCTCATTATAATTTATTGGATATAAATATATATTGCTATAAAAACGTGGATTTGGCCGGTTTTGCTTCTAAAGGTACCTTTTAAATGTGATTTTAACATGGATATAGTCGGATTTAAACAGAATTATCTTGGTTGTCGATAGAAATGAACCCAAAGATGCGAAATCAAAAAAAAAACAAAAACTGAATAAAATGGATTTAGCCGGTTTTGCACGGATGCTCCTCATTTAATGTTTAAAATTGTTAAAACCACAAAAATGTTAAGCTTAAGTTTGAAAGTGAGCTAAAGCCACCCGTGTTTACGCTAATATTATATTGTATTATTTTTAGAGAATAGGACGAAATTAGCTTGACATTGACAAAACATTCTCCTTATTTATTTCTATTAGTCAAGTGCATAGATAACAAAGCCTTGGTCAAGTGGAGGGACTTTGATGTGTGGAGCATGGTATAAATATTTGCAGAATTAAATGCTTTTTTGGGACAAAAAACTCAATTTTCATAAAAAATGTAGATACCTACTCACTTTTTTTAGGATAGCGGGGTTTCATTAACTTATTTTCGAGCTTATTTTGTACAGCATTATTATAATATCTTGAGAATTCTTAGGAATATCTTTCCAACCGGTTTAAAAAATGCGAATATCTTATTTATAAATATTAAATGTTACCAACTCTCTTAAAATGAATTAGTCAAAAATAACTAATTATATAAGTCATATTTGACTAATTGTCATAGTGAAAAAGCAGTCACTAATAATTAGTCAAATTCCACTGAATGAAATAGTCAAATTAGTAAATTTCAATTTAAAAAAAGTTTTGACCCAGCCTGGGATTGAACTCAGGTCTGTCACTTGACAAGTTTGTCAAGCTAATAGTCCAAGATCCCAGGGCCGCCAGACCTACGTCATTTTAATACTGCTGAGATTTTTTTAATAAATGTCCTAATATGTAGTTAAAAACGTATGGGTACTTGCTAGCTTGAAAGCGGGGCCCTTTTACAGATAACGGGCACTAAAGGTACATAAAAAAGGTACCTGTCTACGTTAAAGTAATACCGCTGGTTTTCATATATGTTTTACACATTGTTATTAAAAACCAACATTCATTATTGCCAGACGCATTCCAGGGGACCTAACTTCCGCCAGACGCTTTAAAGCTCAAGAAAAAAGGGCTGAACCTACGTTATAGTAGTACTCCTGAATTTTACATATATTTTTTGAGTGATTATTTTAAGACCTTTTTTAAGCAGCCAGACCAATCCAAGGGGCCCAAGCCCCCCCCAGACGCTTTAAAGGTCAAGAAAAAAGGGGGGAACCTACGTTATAGTAGTACTTCTGAATTTTACATATTTTATTTGGTTGACTATTTTAAGACCTTTTATAAGCAGCCAGACCAACCCGAGGGGCCCAAGCTCCCCCCAGACGCTTTAAAGGTCAAGGAAAAAGGGGGAACATACGTTATAGTAGTACTCCTGAATTTTATATATATTATTTGAGTGACTATTTTCTAATCTTTTGTAAGCAGCCAGACCAATCCGAAGGGCCTAAGCCCCCCCCCAGACGCTTTAAAGCTCAATAAAAAATGGAAAAATGTTATAGTAGTACTTTTGAGTTTTACATATTTTATTTGGGTGATTATATTAACACCTTTTATAAGCAGCCAGACCAATCCGAAGGTCCCAAGCCCTCCCCTGGCGGTTTAAAGGCCAAGAAAAAATGGGAGAACCTACGTTATAGTAAAACTTCTAAATTTTACATATATTATTTGAGGGACTATTTTATGATCTTTTGTAAGCAGCCAGACCAATCCGAAGGGCCTAAGCCCCCTGAATATTTTATATATTATTATTATATATTTATTATTATATATTTTAAGACTTTTTGTTACTACCCTGACCATTCCAAAGGGCCTAACCACGCCCAGACACGATAAAAGGTACGCTGTGAGTACGAGAGCAAGGCATGCATGTGAGTGCGAGTGATAGTATTAGATGGCTTTATTAGACAGCTTCATGAAATTTAAGTTGTGTATTTGTCTTCATGGAATTTTTTAATAATGATTTAATAATATTTAAATTCTTGTTATAAAATTAGTTTTAATTAAATTATTCAAAATTTCAAAAAATTTCAAAATTTCAAAGATTTTTAAAATTTTCCGGATATCCAAAATTTTGAAAATTTCAATTTTTTTTAATATTTTCCAAAATTTTCATAATTCCCACACTAAACTTGTACCAACCAGGATGAACAATGGCACTTAACGGTGTTAAAATAGCCACCCAAATAATATATATACATAATACAATATTACAGCCTATGATCTTATAAGGTATACTTTTTATCGTGTCTGAGGGGGGTTAAGCCCTTCGTATTAATCTGGCTGCTTATAAAAAGTCTTAAAATAGTCACCCAAATAATTTATATATAAAATTCAGGAGTACTACTATAACGTAGGTTCCCCCCTTTTTCCTTGACCTTTAAAGCGTCTGGGGGGGCTTGGGCCCCTCGGATTAGTCTGGCTGCTTAAAAAAGGTCTTAAAATAGCCAACCAAATAAAATATGTAAAATTCAGGAGTACTACTATAACGTAGGTTCCCCCCTTTTTCCTTGACCTTTAAAGCGTCTGGGGGGGCTTGGGCCCCTTGGATGAGTCTGGCTGCTTATAAAAGGTGTTTATATAGCCAACCAAATAAAATATGTAAAATTCAGAAGTACTACTATAACGTAGGTTCCCCCCTTTTTCCTTGACCTTTAAAGCGTCTGGGGGGGCTTGGGCCCCTCGGATTGGTCTGGCTGCTTATAAAAGGTCTTAAAATAGTCAACCAAATAAAATATGTAAAATTCAGGAGTACTACTATAACGTAGATTCCCCCCTTTTTCCTTGACCTTTAAAGCGTCTGGGTGGGGCTTGGGCCCCTCGGATTGGTCTGGCTGCTTACAAAAGGTCTTAAAATAATCACTCAAAAAATATATGTAAAATTCAGGAGTACTACTATAACGTAGGTTCAGCCCTTTTTTCTTGAGCTTTAAAGCGTCTGGCGGAAGTTAGGTCCCCTGGAATGCGTCTGGCAATAATAAATGTTGGTTTTTAATAACAATGTGTAAAACATATATGAAAACCAGCGGTATTACTTTAACGTAGACAGGTACCTTTTTTATGTACCTTTAGTGCCCGTTATCTGTAAAAGGGCCCCGCTTTCAAGCTAGCAAGTACCCATACGTTTTTTACTACATATTAAGACATTTATTAAAAAAATCTCAGCAGTATTAAAATGACGTAGGTCTGGGAGCTCTGGGATCTTACTCTATAACGTCTTAACGCATTCGGCTGTCAGCCGCTCTTATAAAAATTAATTTTATTTGTCAATAAATATGGTTCATAATATTTTAAAGTTTAATATATTATTTGTCTTGCTATTTTGAGCTAAACTTTTTGCATCTTTATTTGTTTTATGGGTCATTTAACCTTGGAGAGGTATATGCATTTAATTCAAATAATACTTTGTTGTTGGCCGTAAACGACTAAAGAAATTAGTTACTTTTAACTGTCAGAAATAGTCAAATATGGTGACTAATCTTAAATTAGTCAAACTTTAACTATTTACATAGTAAAAAATAACTATTTAAAAGTGAAAACGACTATTTTATTAGTACAAAATGCTTTTACTAATTCAAATAGTAGAATTTTGACTATTTCATTTTTAGAGAGAATACTGTAAATTTACATCAGTATCACGGCATGGAATTAAGAAATACCTGAATTTTCTGTGGATGTGGATTTGATGCTGTCGCTTTTCCTCAGGGGATAAAATCTGTTTAACGCCTTTAACCATTTTGTATAATACTAAATATGTTTTGGTTATAAATATTGTGTTGTCATTTTAACTTCAAATGTGATGCCAACACAGAGTTTTTCTATGGATGCCAATTATTCAGACTTTCAATTGTTAATGCAAACCTCGTAAAGCTTAGTTTAATATCATTTAATTACGTGTTTGGGAAACATAAGCAAATTTCGCTGTTTCACCGGTTGTAACTTAAGTTGCAGGTACTTAAATTATTAATTCTAACTCCTGCGGATGTAAAGTTTCTGAATAATTTTCATCTAATTTAGGGTCGCGGTTTTGATTTCTCTTTAAACGGCTATTCGACTAGAAAATATCGTTTTAATTAACTTTGTGAATCCGGTGTTTTGACCACCAAACGATTTTTTAATTATTCTGCTTGATTAAATTGCCTGTTACCTACTCTACTAGCTTTAAATATCATTATACATAGGGATATGTATTTCATTAATTTAAAATCTGTTCATACCATTTTAATGCTCATCTCATTATTAATCTGTTTCAGACGTTTTGCGTGGTCTCGAAACGGTTTCGAAAGAATTACATACACCGTTTCACGGCGACCAGTTCGTTTTTCTTCTTCAGCCCTTTCAGTTCGGTGAGAAGGGCATGCATCTACCTGTGTACCAACCAGTACTTCGACTACATGGTAATGGCCACCATTTTGCTCAATTGCGTCTTCCTAGCCATGGCCGAAACCATCGAAGAGGCAGAGTAAGAACCTTAAAACTTTAAGATAATGAAATTATAAATGATATTAATTCAATGTGAGCTCACATGCATTTAGAATGTTAAAGGTATACCTTTTTTTTAAATATTTTTCTGAATAAAGTGCCATATCAATTTAATATATATATATATATATATATATATATATATATATATATATATATATATATATATATATATATATATATATATATTAAATAGTTTAGCACTTAAAAACGAGGGGCTTAAATTAAATTGATATGGCACTTTATTCAGAAAAATATTTTAAAATTTTCTTATTTTTTTTTTAATTTTACCTCCATTATTTTAGTTGTAACAAATCAAATGTGTAAAATAAATTAAAAGCCAATCCGAAAGCGCGAATTCTATCGTCAAGTCATTCTATAACAATAGCAAAAATTTATTATACCTAGTCCAGTAGAGTAAAGTAAAGCCGTCTTTTTGATTGTAGAAAAACAGCCGGTACCATATTTTTGAATAATTTGCATATTATTATTAGGGGTTTTATTTTTAATTATTTTGCATGAAACTATTTTCCAAAAAGAAAAATCAAATAAAAAACTTACTGAGCATAGTTTGACAGATTAAATTTATAGGTTGAGTGATATACGTCTAGATTATTTCTCAAATTAAAGGAAACTATTTAACAATTCATAAAATCTGACGGTTGTGTCAAAATTTATAAATATTTTTTTCTTACTACCTCGACTCAAAATACGTTGTTTCGTCCCCGATTTCACGGCAGAAAGTTTACGTTTCTTGCATTGGTCAAGCTATACGCGCACACTCTAATAGCGGGAGTAAAAAATTTTTAGTCGTGTGCTTAACATTCAAATTTCGTACTGCCAACATGAGAAACACAAAAATATGACAGTTTTAAACCATAATTTTGCAATTATAACAACAAATAAACAATTTATGTTTTTACTTTTTTACTTTTTATGTTGTTTTAAGTGTTTAATGGTACTTTTATTTGTTATAAAGTAGTAATTTGTTAATTAAAATACAACCTTTTATTTTTACTGTATTGGCACCGCTGAATTACCATGACAACGCTACAGTTTGATTGATTTTGAATGTAAACGTCAGAATGAAATTAAACGTCAGATTTTAATTTTTACACAAGTTTTTTTATATACATTTAATTTTTTCCCGTATTTTCTGCGGGGTAGCAAGAAAAATAGTATACACTACACGGGCAGAAAGGGCAGCCCTGAACTGCGCGCCATGATGCCCTCGGCTTCGCCTCGGGCATCATGGTAGGAATCTCACACTTTCTGCCCTTGTAGTGTAATATATTATTTTCTTATGGTCACAGCATAGAAATTATTCTATTATTCTAAATTATTTCTATGGGTCACAGACTGTAACAGTAACTTTCTTTACAGTATTTCTTTGTATTGAGCTTATGTTCTGTCATAGAATTTCTGTGTAGTGAGTGTCACTCAGTGAAACAAAGTTTATTGCATAGAAATAGTTTATTGTGGGTATGTTCTGTGTTTGGGTATGCGGCTAAACAAAATTATAAAAGAAACTTGAACTTTTAATGTTTTTTTTACCTAAAATGCTGTTTTTTTAACCTAAAATGCTTTTTTTAATACCTTTTTAGTTACCTATTTTTCAGTTTTTAGTACCTAAATATCCCATCCCTAGTAATAAGTAATAATTGATATTTCGTAAACTAGATAACTTATTTTTTATTGTTTTTTAAAAAATGTTTGTTAAAACTTGTTAATAACACCATAAAATCGTAAACAAAAATTCAATATGGAGGCTAAAATTTAATCGCTGTTAAATAGGTCTAGTCACTAGTGATTTAATCGCTTATTTAAACGAAATTTATTCGAAAATTCAACGCTTTTGATTGGTTCATATTATAATGAGGGAAATAATCGATTATAATAATTATTATAATTATAATTATTATTATTATTATTATTATTAAAAAATTACCTACAACTGTTATTGGAAGTTCTTAAATAATTATATAAGAATTTCCAATAACTGTTGTAGGTAATTGTGTGTTTAACAATTTTTGAATCACAAAAAAGATATTCCACCGTAAACAAATTTTAACCCCCTTTTTTCTTTTACAAATTTTTAAAACTCAATTTTCTTGTCATAAATGGAATGGCTGTTTTTTTCAAATCAAAAAATGGCTGTTATTCGAGATTTCACCCCTTAATACAAGATGGCGAAAAAGCTGCAAGGAGTTGATAGACAAAAACTCGGGTTTAATCTTCCTATAAGGTACCCTAACGATCTTAAAAAACAATGAATGCAATAATAAAACTTATTGGATAAACGAAAGGTTGTGGACTGGATTGGATTTGGATTTGTTGGGTGGAGGGTAGCCACATTGTGGCTACATGCACTTAGGCCACAGTTGGCCCTTTGTACTGCCCCCGAGATCCATTTCCCCATTTGTGTTTGCTCAAATTTTTTAATCCAGCCATCCGAGTTTCCGAAAGAAATCTAGAAAGACGGCTGGAGAGATGGAGCTAATGTTGGTTGCATCAACCCATTCTTCTCCTAAAGTGGATTTTCTGAATTCGAGAAGAGCAGGACATTCACAAATAATGTGTATTACATTCTCTTCGCCCCAGTTACAGGCTCTGCAAAGAGGACTGTCTACTTTTCTTATCGTATGAAGATGTTTGTTTAGTCTACAGTGTCCCGTTATAATTCCGACAAGGTCGGAGAGGTTTTGACGAGATAGCTGTAGACTGTACCTGGCCAGCTTGTCAGATGGATTAGTGATAATATTTTTGGTCTGACGACATGAGCTTAGATTAACCCATCTTCTTAGTTGTTTTTCATGGGTTAGTTTTTTTATCTGGACTGCCATTGCCGTAGTATTTTTAATCACGAAGTTTCAACTGGTAAGTATATCCAGTCAGTGAATACTGAATAAGTTAAGTAGCCACGGGTATATTTATATTTAAGCCGGGTCCTCTGGAGCATCCAGGTGTGGCGAATTCATGCATCACAATGGAGAAGGAGAAAGTACAAGGGAGCAGTGGCAGTGGCGGCTGGTGGATTTTGCATTTGCCATATCTCAGTTATTAGACGTGGCAAATTTATATGAGTTTATAATAACACTAAATTAACAAGCAGAATTTAAATGGAACTTTGCAAAAAAATATAGTTTTTGCTGCAGCTCCCCTGCAGCCTGGCCTCCCTAATAATAGACCAGTGCAGAAGCCTTTAAAAATGGTAAAAAGAGAAAAAAAATAACAGTAAGATGAAACCCATTGGAAAAGAAGGAGAATATAATAAAAATTAAAGGAAAAATAAATTACGGGCGATCTGAGTTCGGGAAGTGGGAGGGGGGGGGGTTTAAGGGTGAAAAATGGTTTATCTCGATTTCCGGCAAAACTACAAGTCCTATGGAAAAAAGTTAAATGTCAAAGTTGTAGGTAATAAAAAGATCTACAACTTTTGTTTTAACAATTTTTTCACATAACCTCAAAATTTATGTGAAAAATTCAAAAAAACAAGTTTTTGGTTTTTTATTTTTATCTTTTTCAAAAAAAAATTTTTTTTATGAAATTTGGTGAAAACATACCTTTTTATGTTCCAAATACACTGTAATTTATTTGATTTGAAATATTTATTATTTCGCCTTATTTTGACTTAATATCAAAAAAGCACCCTAATTTTCAATCGAAAATTCTCGCGTCAAAATATCAGCTTTTTTCAAAAAGTCGGTGTGCTTTTTGTTCGATGAACTCTCTACTTTCTGATGGTGTAAAAAAAAATATACATTACTATGGTAAATGTTCTCAGAAAATAGAAAAAATATTATAATGAATAACGTAATCAGAATGAAGTATCTAAATTCAATAGTATGATTTACATGTATTTTTATATTTTATGAGATTTTCTGACATAAATGTTATTAGAATTTAATAAATAAACTTTTTAATTAAAAAAAATTGCAACAATCACATTTTTTTGATGAAATTGTACATAATGATTAAAATAAATTTTCGAATTCGAGTTTTTTTCGTTATTCATGAATAATAATGCATTATAATATTTTTTGCATTTTCTGAGAACATTTACCACAGTATTGTATATTTTTTTACACCATCAGAAAGTAGAGATTTCAACGAACAAAAAGCTCACCGACTTTTTGAAAAAAGCTGATATTTTGACGCGAGAATTTTCGATTGAAAATTAGGGTGCTTTTTTGATATTAATTCAAAATAAGGCGAGTAGTTAAGAGAGCGGGTTTCAGCGCCAAAGTCGATGGCATGTGTTACCTTTCAGGATTTCAGTGCCGAAGAAGTGTTTTTCAGGATGTCTTCGGCTGAATTTCAGGATTTTCAGGATGTCTTTAGCGCCGAAGACATGGACCTTCTGGTTTTTTCAAGGTCATTTCAGGATTTCAGGATGTCTTCAGCAGATGCAGACAATGACCAGAAGGTCCTTTTCAGGGACATTTCAGGATTTCAGGATGTCTTTGTCTGCTGACGACAATAACCAGAAGGTCCTTTTCCTGAAAGATAAGGACCTTTAGAGGTCCTTGTTTATCTCTTAGATCTTTAAGTTGGTACAAATAATAAATATTTCAAATCAAATAAATTACAGTGTATTTGGGACATAAAAAGGTAAGTTTTCACCAAATTTCGTGGAAATTTTTTTAAAGATAAAAATAAAAAACCAAAAACTTACTATTAAAATTATTAAAAAAATTCAAGTATTACAGATTTTATTTTATTTTTTATTATTTTAGGATATTTTAGATCTGTAATCCTTGGTTTTTTTAAATAAATTTTAAAATTTGTCAATAAACTATGGTAAATTATAAATTGCACCAATAAAATTTGTAATATCTTTATTAGGGGGGGCAGGCTGAAGGGGGGTTCCGCAAACAAATATTTAAATTCTGCTTGCGCAGAACTTGTTAATTTAGAGTCATTATAAACTATTATAAATTTTTTGTGTGTTCCATGTCTAATAACCAAAATATCGTTATACGCAAAATCCACCAGCCGCCACTGAGCAGGGGTCACGCACAGAGCCGGCTTAAGGCAATTGAGCGCCTAAGGCACTTAAAAATTTGGCTCCTCTAACTAGATACTATACTTACGGGTCCCGGGGCAAATTTTAAAAAAGCTTATTAGAGCCACCTCAAACTGTTAGCTTAAGGGCGCCCGAGCATTATAACCTAATTATTCCCTATGAATTAGAATACTTTTTATCATTAAAAAATAAATATAAAACATAAATAACATACAAACATAACAAATATAATGTAAATAAAAAGTGTTAGGACTTAAGTGCGTTTTTCTTCAAGATGTCATTAGTAAGTATTTAAAAAAAATTAATTCAACTTTAATTTTCTGTATTTGTATGTTAGATGTACTGCTGGTTTATTGTAATTAGTTTAATATTAAAATTTCAGAAATACCTTAAAACAAACAGAAAAATTAACACTATCTAAATGTGGATTTAGCCAGCATTTTGTGTAACGTAATCTAACGTAACGTAATTTAATTTAAAAGCCAGGCTAAATCAACCTTAACTATCGAACACAGACTGCTATCACCAAACACGCAACACATAGAAGTGCCACTCTTGAATAAACGCGAAAACACCCTAGTCCTTCCGGCAGCAGTTTCCTCTAGTATCGCGTACCCGCTGGGGTGAGCAGCACATCACAGCGGGTACCCGATGCAAGAGGAATCCGTGTGCTTGGAGCATACGGGGGTTTTGAAATAGTTTAAAGAGTGCTAAAGATATGTTTATACAGGATAAAGTTTACAAATTAAATTATCTTTTAAGTTTTTGTTTGCAGTTTAACGTTAAGATTTATTATTATTTGTTAATTATATAGTTAATAATAAAATATATTATTCTACTTCAAAACGCAGTGCCCTCGTAATCAAGCATGGTGATATAACACCTGATTAATTTTATATGAAATACATTTATGTATTTGGCATAAAAACAGAAGTTAATTTGCCGCACGCTTTTTTGTCGGCTTTACACCTAGTTATTATTACAAAGGAAGCTGAATTTTTATAAAATAATAAAAACAGTAAATAATTTTTTGTTTTTACAATTGTATATTGTTTATTTGTTTTATTTTTGGAAAAAATATACATTTTGGTAACAATTTTTATTTTTTTTTAAGTTGCCTGGGGACAAGGCGCCTATTTCTACGTGGCGCCTAAGGCAATTGCCTTGCCTGCCTAATGGGTAATATGGCCCTGGTCACGCACCTGAACCCTGATTGCTTTAGTAAGCCTTCAGTAGACATAAGGAACATCTGGAAACCGCTGTTAAACATATGTGACCTTGGATTTTAACAATGCTTGTATTCGTTACACCTGGATCCTCCAGTGCGCTTGGTTGCACCTGGATACTCCAGTGCACCCCGTATTCTTCTGAAGACGACTTACCAGTCGAAACGTTGTGAATAAAAACACACCGGCATTGGAAGTACAAAACATTTCCTTTATTCAACAAACATCATTGTCTACAACCTTTAAACAAATAAGAAAACCTAAATACCCATGAACTAATGATGGCGCTATATTATAAACTCTTCGAAGTTTTCTGTCGAGGTGACAATTAATTTTTAGAATTTTTGTAATTTTTAGCTACATAAAATTGCTCTTGTACTTTCAAGTGATTACGAACTTAAATGTCCTCTATTTACCTCAATGCATTTGCTAATTAAGCTAGTGCACTGCTCCATTGATATTTAATTCCATGCGCGTATTAGACCCCTCTTCAACATGTCTACAGTTTCTTTAAACCTTTTCCTCTAATATAGACCACTCTAAATAGTCCATAGGGTTCAAATCAAGCGAGTTTGTAGGCCAAACATCTTTGCCCCAAAACTCAGGTGAGAACTCTTTACAGACCCTGAGCGTTAATTAGGCCGAAAGGGCCGGAGCCGTCTTGTTAAAGAATGAAGCCGTCTTGGCCAAAGGTATCCAAGACCCAGGGTTCCAAACTATTTTTTGATAGGTGATTTAACAATTTCAGTCAGTAAAAATGAGTGGTGTTTTGCCATATCGACCCATGCAACGAAGACTCAAAAAACGTGGGTTTTGACTTACTATATGGCATCAACAGATTTTTTTAAGCTCTATTTGGTGGAATATTACAGTAACTCAGACATGAAACGATAGGCAACCAGTGAACAACTTCCCTGTATAGTAAGTGTAATAATCCACATTCCTACAGGAAAAAACTATATTAAGTTGAGTTACTCTAGTCTACAATCAAAACTGAGTTACAATAGTCTTCGTTGCATGGGTCGATATGACAAATAGACATAGACTGCAAATTACAGTTTTTGTTGTAGTCGACTTTTTCTGGCCTTTTTTAAGAGCTGACAAGAAGTTTGGTGTGTTTCAAATGGCTTAATCGTAAAAATCTTCTCGTCCGTGAAAAAACTTTTTTTGCCGAAATCCAGCGACTTGCTTATGTATTCGGCAAGATTTTTAAGTCGTTTTTGTTTATTCATTTTATTTAGGGAGAGAACTTCATTAATTTTATAATACAGTTTTAACTTATTTTTGAACGCTGAATTAACTTATGCTGATTTTATTAAAATGTTGTCATTTTTGCTAGAAAAGTTCTGTTGCAAAAAATCTTACCCCAGACTCTGTTGATCTACAAGGACGATTTAAAGTATTTTTCATCTCACAATACAGTTTTGCTGCTGTACTTTTTTCAAGTCTGTATTTTTAATAATAGTGGATGTCTTCATTCCTAAATTGTGTAATTCAATAACCGTGATGCTTGTTATCCCAATTAAATTAAATGTTAAACTAAAATTCTCTATAATTTTCATGTAACATATACGATCGTATGTTCCAAGCACGTTTGGTGCGGTCACAGAGGGCGGAAATAGCGACTATTCGTTAATTAAATATCATGCGCTATTTTATGACGTTGTACGAAATATCAACCAACTTTATCGAGTGCTTATTTGGGGCAAAGACACATTAAAGGGATCAAAGAGCCACATGTGCCTTGCGACTCACATTTTGTCGACCCCTGTTTTAGGTTGAGACACTCAGTATAGTTTTTTAACAAATTTTAGATTTATCTCAAACAGTTTAGGGCAAAGATATTAAAATATATCGATGATTTTCTGCCAAAGTATCGCAAAGAATATAACTCAAATTTCGGGAATTAAAAACATTTTTTGTTTTAAAGTCTGTTTTAAACCATATACAAGGTGTCCCTAAACTTAGTGGCATAAATTTAGGAGCAGATTAAGCAAGTCAAAATAAGACGTTTTTTTAATATAACTTCTACTATGGTAGACTTGGAAAAGTGATATTTTGCGAACAGTCACTTACTACCATAACACATATTCACACATAATAACAATTGTTCGAGTGAACGCAGTGTCGTAGAAACAGGGGTTGATTAAGCTTTTTGTCCCATATAAACTTTGAGGTTAGGTTTTTATACCATTTGATGCAATTTTTCGATTACTCAGTTCGGCTACTATTAAAAAGGTGTACCTCTCAAACTTCAATAAAATAAACCGTTTCCAAGATATTCGAGATTACAATAATTGTTATATCGCATTAAAGGACTAAAAGGTATATGAATTTTTTAATTGAAAAAACTACAATTTTTTTTAATGTGACGGTCAGGGCAAAAATTCCCGAGGCTTAATAATATGGAATGCCCTTTTTAGTTTTTTCAATTAAAAAATAAAATTTGTTATCATATACAATGTATATTATACATACCTTTTAATTCTTTTAAATTGCAAAATACCACCTTCCCAAGACTACCATAGTAGAAGTTATATTAAAAAACTGATATGATAAGTACCACTTTATCACCCTGTGTCTTTTGGAATTAGGAAAAATATTTATTTAGGTTTTCGTCTTATTTTGACTTGCCAAGAGGTTTAGGGACCCCTTGTATAACCTATAGGTTTTATAACAAGTAAATAGCTATAATAATTATAATAAGCTATTAACTTGTTTTATAACTTTAGGCTATATTTAATTTAAAACAGACTTTAAAACAAAAAATGTTTTCAATTTCTGAAATTTGAGTTATGTTGCTTGCGATACTTTAGCAGAAAGTAATCGATATTTTGATATTTTTTTTTGTGTTTACTCCATTCTTTTCGGTTTTAAAAGGTTTACCTTAAGATATGTTAGTAACTTAGAAAAAACAAGAGTTTAAATTGGACAAATGTAGACTAATACAAATTTCTTTTATTCCAGGTATATTTTTTTAGCCATTTACACGGCTGAAATGATAATAAAAGGTATCGCGAAAGGATTTATATTAAACAAGTACACGTACCTGCGTAATCCTTGGAATTGGCTGGATTTCGTGGTGATAACCAGCGGCTACGCCACCATCGGAGTCGAGGGCGCCAATCTTGCCGGTCTCAGAACCTTTCGGGTCCTCAGGGCCTTAAAGACAATCTCTATCTTACCAGGTAAGCGCATTACGTTAAAACGGCGTTATGCGAAAGCACGGTGATTCAATTTGGAAATTAGTATAAATATTTTGAAAAATATATTTTATTTAAAAATCTGCCATGTTTATTAAATTCACATGTTTTTAATATTTTATATAGAAATATTATCAAAAACAATTTTTATTTCAACGTTTACCAACGAAATTTTAAAACCTTTGCCCTTTTGCAAGAATTTTTTCATGTAGATATCTTTAAAACAAAGCCAGAATTTGGCATGGTTATTAAGATACACAGGGTGATTCTCCTAACTGATTCATTAGAGGTTTATATAAAACCAAAAGAAAAATTTGGTTACAGCCATAGTGCGATGTGACCTATTTAGGCGCGGATAAAGAATTTCGTTTCGGGGGTGATTTTTATGTGATTTGATAACGTTTAATTTTGTTATTGCGTTTAACTAATACTATACTATTATACATAGGTACGAAAAAACAAAAACAAATTTTGAAATTGGTCAAAATAAAGAACTTTGGTCATAAGTCAGGCGGGGCAATTGCACCCATTGCCCATTGCCATAACATAATTTTAATCAATTTTCAGGAATTTAGCAATAAAAGTTTCCGGATTTTTTAATCACATTTTGGGTTTATAAAATTGCCCTATTAGTACCTAAATAAAATGTACTTCAAATTAACTAAGAACTTTGTTCAAAACAGTTAATTATATTTTTTTAATTTACATTAGATTTTTACAATGTCCCTTATTTATAATTTTAAAATAAATGTTTTTAAGATATTAAAAAAAAACTAAAATGTCATTTTTATAGTAATAATAGTAGATTATGTCATAAGGAGTAGAAGTGACTCTTTTTGTGGTGAGTACAGAGATTGACGGCCGAAGCGTAGCTGAGGCAGGCAACTGTACGAAGCACAAAAAGAGCTTCTACTCCAAATAACATATACTATTTTTTTTTCAAGGGCGTAATATAAATATAATAAGCAAAATTTACGTTAAATGTACAATTACACGCACTGCAGCTCTTCAATTAAATCATGTGGGATAAAATTTTGGCTAAAAGCATTAGAAATTATTGATAAAAACTAAAAAAACTTATAACCCTTACTTACAATGCCGATAAATATCCTAAACTAAAAATAAACACAGCTCTGCCAAAATGCTGCGCTTGAATTAATTTTGACGTACTGACATTTGTTTGAAATTCCGACATTTCGACTCGTCTATCATCATAATATTATACTAATAAACTAGTTGTTCTTTATTTCGTTCAATTAAAATTTAATAAATAATCACTAAATATTCCGTGCGATTATAATTAATATAATTAATACATCGTGATTGCTTAGTATGAAATGCTAAATTAATTTTATTATTTGACGTCTATTGAGTCACCTATGGATTTACTTCTATCCCTAGGCTTTTTTAAGTTTTTTGTCTGCCGCTAATGAAAAGGACGCACTTCAACTATCTCTATACATGCATATAAGGTTGTATATCATGGCCGCTTGAAAAAAATAATACTTTTTTTAACAACTGTTGATAGAAGTAAAAAACAATTAATAAATATATTAATAATTCAAATGAAATAATGGTATTTTTAAATTTGGCTTTTAGGCAGTACAATTTGAATTTTTTTATCAATTATAGGGGGTATCCCAAAAAAGGTATGATATTATAATGCAAAGTGAAATAGTTGGAAAGTTATATTAGGTATATCGCTATTCCTTAAAATATTTTTCTGAAGAAATATTGATTGACATTTTTTTTATTATTAAAAAAGGGACTAATATTTATTAGTAATAATATTAAAATAATGAATAAATAATAACCAGAATCATTCCAAATCCATTTACCAAAAAATTTGTCAAATTGAATGTGGATCATAATAAAACAAGAAGAACAGAAATTCTACTATGCTCTAACTCCCGAACACACACCTACGCCCAGTGTTTCAGATTCTGATTCATGATAAAAAAAAGATAAAACCCCTATTTATACGTTTTTATAACAATTTTGACAATCAAATAAATATATAAATAAATATATAATCTTCATAATTTCTTCTGCTTGTTATATAATCACTATTCACGATGAGAAACTTCTATTTTGTTATACAGGATGCGCAAAAAAATACAATTGTAGATTTTTCAAAATTATAATAAATAATAAAAGTTGTTAAATATATTTTTGGTATTAAAAATAAAATCAATTCAGGTCCTAACTTGAGTGGTCCTATTATTTTGTAGAAATTTACTGCTATCTCATTTTGTGATTATGAGTCAAGGTTGTTGCTTTCAACTGACATGTCTACAATGTCTACAATTATTTGTTAAAATTTGAAAAGTAGTTTCTTATTTTTTTAATATCAAATATCTTAGTATCAAAAAATATTTAAAAATTTAAAAATCTGTATTTTTGCTCACCCTGTTCAACAAAATGGATGTTTCTCAACGCGAATATTAATATAACAAGCAAAAGAAATTGAGAAAAATGACTTTTTCTCGAAAAATTGAAAATAAATATTTTTACAAGTATAGTTAAGTCCATCCGTGGTCACACTGTATATATATATATATATATTGTTTATTTATTTATTAAAATGGATTTTTTTAAATTTGACTTTGTATTTTAACAAAAACAATTCCAGTTGTCAATTCTTTAGTTTTTTTTTAACTTAAGATTGTGTTAAGAGTGACAGTGCATGACTACTGTATTTATAGATAAAATGGGTAGACAGTTCCATTGACTAATGCTAAGTTTTATATTTTTCCCCATACATATGTATACTAAATCACCCTGTATATTTGAAAAAAATATCTACATTTTAGAATAACATTTTTAACAAATAAAAATCACAAAATTCGTTAAAACCCTGTATACTTTTAAAAAAATATGTAACGATATTTTTAATTATAATTTAAACAGCTATTAAAACAATGGTCAATATTTAATTAAAAAATAGGATTTATATTTATTTAATTTAATATACAACATATATGTATGTATGTACAAATTGTAAGTAATTAGGTAAGTTACAAATACAAATAAAAATTATAAATAAATAAAGTAAGTAAACCTAAAAAAATATATTGTAATTTCTTTAATTTTTAAATCTTTTATTGCTTTGTTTTATCTGAAATTTGTAGTCAGTGTTGTTTGTTTTTTATTAAAAAAATTTAAGTTAATAAATACAAAAGTGTAAACAAGATTTATTTATAAGCTGTTACTTAATTAAAAATATAATTGAATTGTTTTTTAATGGTAATGATTATAATAATTACTTAATCATAATGTCTGTCAATCTTTTATTATTATTTTTAATTAATTTTTAAAAACAACTTGGTTAGTTTAGTCTAGCACAATGTTTATGAACTTTATCTCCTAAACGCCTGAGGGCTTCAAAATACTTCACTCTAACTTCATCATCATCAACTTCCATGCAACTTTTTTCGTTAACTGTGCTCGAGTAACAAACGGGGATATCTCCACAATTACTCGGTTTTTCCAAATTCGCTCCCGAGCTGTACAACCAATTCGTCACTTTGTGTAAGCACTGGCACTCCCAGGGATTTCCATCCAACATTACTTTTCTTACTATCAACTTATCCATCAGTTGAGTTGGTAGATATGTGAGGTGATTTGCGGCTATATTCAGACGGGTTATTTTAATTGAATTTGGGAAAATATCGGAATCGATAGATTTTAGTTTGTTGTATGTTAGACTTAAATGTTCCAGGTGTCGTAAACCTTTAAAGGAATTTGTTTCCAGTAAGGTAATATCGTTGTGATCTAGTTGTATCTCACGGAGTCTATGATATGGCTTGAAGGATTTTCTTTCTATGGTTCTAATTTTATTGTGTTGAAGGTTCAGGATTTCCAAGTTAGTGCTGTTTGTGAACCATGTTCTGTCGAAGTAGTTTAGCTGATTGTTGCTTAGGTCCGTCTCTTTTAAGTTAGGCAAAAATCCAAAAGCGTCTGTGTCAATTTCATTTAAATCCGTGTTATGTATTTTGATGGTCTCCAATGTGAAAAGTTCTTGGAATGTCCCGTATAAAATCCTCGCTAGACCACTTTTATTAACTTCAAAATACCTTAGTTTTGGTAGATTCCTCATAGATCCTGGCATTATATTATTAATGCCACAATTTTCAAAAACAAGGCTTGTTAATCTAGGCATATGCCTGATGGCATCTCTTCCTAACCTGGGCACATTTTGCTCGCTCACTAAAATTTCTGACACGATAACTTCATCACGAAAATTAGGCCTTTGCACACAACCGTATATAGTTGCTTCGAATGGCTCACCTTTTAATTGCACCACAGAAACTTTAATATTATTGAATGATGCACATGGTTTTTCAGTCTTTGTTAAATAGGCAAAACATAAAACTAAAATTACTGTAAATTCGCGATTTTTGCTCGGCATCGCTGTGCTTTCTGTAGGTCGCAGAGTTAATAAACTCGTTTTTAAGAATTACCAAAATGAAACAGGATTTGTTTGTTAATTTTATTTTCAAGCAGAGGTTAAAGTTGCTGTTTGTTTGTGGCGATTTTCTAGTTTGTTTGTTTACTTAGTTGTTTGTTAATAATCTATTGTACTTTTTATTATTATTTTTTAAAAACACAAATTATTTATTTCAAGGACACTTGAGCAACCTTTAAAAACCAATCAAATTAGAAAAATGTATTTTTGTCGCTCCGAAGTCAGAAAAAAACGGAAAAATTTGGAAAAAACCTTTTTCTCAGGCCTTGGAAAAATTGTTTTTTTTTGGGAAAATTTGAATTTTTTTGGAATATACACATTTGAAAAAAGTACCAATCAACAACTTAACATTATTTTAAATTAAAAAAATACTTTATTACACAAAAAATAAAACTAAACTGTTGGGTATTTTTGTTGAAAAAAGAAGCCCATTAAAAATATCTAATTACAAAATAATAAATGATTTATAAAGTTAAATAACAAAATTATAATTTTATAAATCGAAGTGTTAAATAAAAGTTATGTTAATGCAGCACCGAATATTTTTTTTAGAGACCCGGTAGAATATTCTTACTGAATTAAAATAAAAGAAATAATTATTATATCATAATATTATGATTATAATCAACGTCGGAAATTCACTTTTTATCGATATCAGTGTACGGATACTATCCGTAAATTTTTTTAGAAAAATTAACTTTTGCATTTGTATTACCCTTTAAATAAAATGAAAAAGTCAATTTTTCTGAAAATTTCCCTATTTTTCCGGTTTTCTTTTCGAAGGGGGTTTGTCAATTTTAACCATTTTTTGCGTCCCTTATAAGATGAGTTTTTTAAATTATTTTTCGTATTTGTAAAAATTTTGACAATAATTGTCAAATTATAATAACCTAATATGGTACCTACAGGTATTTGCACGATCTGAGCGGCCAAAATTATTTGTATGCTTAAATGGTATCCAAACCATGCAAATAAATAAATTAACTTATTTTTAACAAAAAAAATGTTAATTTACAATACTCTTATTAAAAGGCATAATGGCTTATTGAGAAAAATGCTTAGTCAGTTTCTTACAATTACACGTACATTTTCCTACACACACAACACAGTACAATTAACCCAATGCAATAAGTATTCAGCATTTTTAGTTAATTAACTATTATATAAGTATATCGAAATTATGGTTTGGGGTGACAAAAAAATTATTGTGAAAGTTTGAGTCCATAATATTAATATTAAGAGGTCTATCATCGCAATTTTAATTTTTTTTTCCTTAGCAAGTTTTTGTCTCAGAACTCCCAAACCATTAAGTTTAACAAAATTGACTCGAATATATTTTTTGAAGAAAATTGAATGCTAAAAAAAAGGTTAAAACGAAATTTTCTGTCAGATGAACCGTTTCCTTAAAATCAAACCTTAAAAATTTTTATAGTTTTACATTTTGATCTGTTAACTTTGGAATTTTCTATTCCATGTAAAAATCAGTACCCAGAAAAAAAAAACGATAAATATTCTTATGGGAAATCAAATGCTTTACAAAAAAAGCCTCTTAACATTTTTGGCTAAATTCACTCAATCAAAAGTTATTCAAGGTTAAATTTGAAATCAAAACGAAATTGTATGTTACAAAACGCATTTTTATACTTTCGGGTAAGAATTTCCGAAAAAACCTGACGTGATGAAGTTATTTCGATGTGTTCCGACTATAGTCGCCCCATTTACTGGCGCTGATTTTTCCGTCTTTTAAATCTTAAAATGTAAAGGAATAAGTATTTTAGATTGATTGCACAATTTATTGATATTTATTCGACTGCTTAACATTTTTATAAGGAAAACGAATTTGCCATAAAATAAATTTGTCTGAAGATCAATGGCGCAGCTATAGCATTTTTCGCCCATGGCAAAGAATAATCCATTCTACAATTCCATCAAATATATAACGAATAATTTAACGAAAATCTTAAAACTTTTTATGTTGGCAATCAATTGAATTGACGCTGAATGCCGTGGAGCCTACACATGGAGCCCGAAGTTAATAGGAGAAATTGAAAAAACCTGCCCAATAAATTGCACAAATTAAGTCTTTTTTTTCACCACCAGCGGCGCTGATTGTCGATGCCTGCTCTTTTGGTAGCGTTTCGGTACAAATTAGTCAATTGTTTCTGAATAAACGGAACACCAGCGCACGGTGCGGTGGTTTGCCGATTTAAATCAACTTTAAATGAACTCATTTCTCTTTCTATACATCGATTCTATATGACGTAAGAAAATCTATCGAGCACTTTTTCTTATTAAGCAAAACCCCGTATTTTGGGCCCTTAAAAAACTGTATTTTATTTAAAGCAAAAAATCACTTAGTCACTTAGCTTAAGCACTAAAGAAACTCAAAATGACAGTTACCATACTTTTGTTTTTATATATTTAGGCTAAGTCTACTATGTTGCATTGACGCCTATAAAATCCTTTTATTCATGCAGATATTTTTTATTTAAATTAATAATCCCTTCGGCTGCTTCATTCTAAAATACAGTATGTGTAAAAAACAAAATTGCGAGAAAAACGTGTTTTAGTTTTTTGATTTGGCCTCTGTAGGGTATTTAATGAATTCTGTTGATATTACTGCTATGTGTTTTCATCAACAAATAGGCTGGGTTAGAAGGTGCGTTTTAATACAGTATAATATATTATGCAAAAATATAAAAAAACATGTTCTGAAAAAATGTTGGATAGTGTTTTGGAATTTTTGAATAATTTTAAATGTCTAGGATTGAACTTCTTTATTCAGATAAATTAATAAACTGCTCATAAATAATGTTCAATAAATATTTTATTACGCTATTGAATAAAATATTATGTATTTAAAAATAAAACTTTGTACAATTATACATTTTTCTTTATTTACAAGGAAGTAGTTGTATATACGGTTCTTTATTATTAAATTTAAATTTTTTGTTATAAATAATATTTTGCAGTTAGTTTTAACCGACGTTTTAACGTATACTGAACAAAATAAAATTAAAAAAATGAATATAATATGAGTAAATATTTAGTGAATAGTCACATGCAAGGCTCGATAGATTTTTTTAATTTTTTGTCAAAACCATCCTTACGTCACATAGAATCTATGTATAGAAAGAGAAATTAGTTGATTTAAATCGTACGTGAGCGCCCTCTTATCTTAGGAAGATTCTTGTTTACATGAAGTTCGGACTCCTTATGTAGGCTCCATGCTGAAAGCACTCAAAAATGCAAATTCAGTTGCGAAATTATGAATTAATAAGGAATTTTTACAAAATTATTGTACATAATTACAACGATTAGAATTTCTCTTCGCGTCTTCATTATTTCATAAAAGATAAATTTCTGTAAAATCATTGCAAATATTCTATTTATTGTTTAAAATTACTACTAAAAGATCTTTCAATCATTCCCAAATTTCCAGCTAATCGCCAGCTACGAAATTATAGACGAAAAAACAGGAAACATTTTTAATTATTGAAAAAAATCAAAAAATTATTTTATTATTTTTTATTAAATCATACCTCATCATATTACTAATGAAATGAACTGTTTTCGCTATATTCTTTTTTGTATTGGCCTTTTCCTTTTTGATGTAGAAATAACAAAAAATCTTGGATCAAAGAGTACCTAATTCAATCCCTTATGAAATTTGGTAAGTAATTGAGGATATGTACATCCTGCTGTGCCAGTTCAGGAAATATATTTCAAATCGATTTACTTGTTGCAGGATCCATTCATACAGATTTTCTGTCGGACGTCTTTCACTAATATGATTTCTAAAGTAGATACATCATCAAATTTCAATTCAATTGAAAATCATATCATATATTTATTATGTATATTCATATTTTATATCGATGATATAATCCAAGGCTGTAAATTTAACACAATTTCTTATAAATGAGCTGAAAAAAAAATTATGTAAAAAATATTTGAAAATAATAATAGTTAAATTATATCTTACTTTTAGATTTGAACTTTAGTTTAAGAAAAACCTCACCTATATGCTTGTAAGCAACCTAAAAAAGCATAAATTTAATATATTTTTTTCTAATTTCAGGACTAAAAACAATTATCAACGCACTGCTCCATTCGTTCAAGCAATTGGCCGAGGTCATGACCTTGACTATATTTTGCCTTATGGTGTTTGCACTTTTCGCTCTTCAGGTGTACAAGGGCGAGCTAAGAAACAAATGCGTCCTCAAGATGGACGACACCAACGCCACCTACGAAGTTTGGTACAAGTAAGTAACCTAACAAAGCCCATGCGCAAGGGGTGGTTGCTGGTTAAAATCCCCCCCTTGAAAGTCTTAAAATAAAAAAAATATTACACTACTCAAAATTTAAACACAGAAAGTTGTAGGTAACTCTTAAAACAAAACCAATAATCACTAAAATAAACACGTAAACAATCATAAATTAAATACTGCGAACTTTAGAGACATATATATATATATAGTATTATACTAATGTAAATTTTAGGTACAGGCAAAAATATCAATTTTGACAATTTTACAATTTTTGTGGTAAATGCAAAAATAAACGTGAAGAAACAATTGTATAAGTATAAATATATTAAAATGTTCGTTAATAAATGTTCTACTCTTGGAGGGAAATTGGGAATCGTACGATTGTATTGATCTTCAACCTTGAAGTTTGACATGGATGACGAAAATGAGGCTTTCGTTAGATTTGCTTCTTGACATTTTCGACCATATCTTTTGAATAAATAAGGAGATACATTAGGGTGGGCCAAAAAAAACTGTTAATTTTCTTTTCTTTAGCTACCATGAAAATATCGTCCAAGATGACGAAAATAAAATTCTGATAAAGTTTGAGCTCTTAATATCAATATTAAGAGGTGGCTCATCGCGATTTTTATTTTCATTATAACACGTGAAAATACATTTTTTTGTTTGGAATTTTATTGCGTTTTAAAAAATCAGTGAGTTGTATAAATCAATACATATTCTTGTAGGGAATTGAACGATCTACAAAAAAGATCTGACATGATTTTTTGCATAGTCGACTATTTTAAAAGTTATTTGAGGTTAAAGTTCAACTTCAAATAGTAAATGATGACTTTTATAGTTTTTCATACTCTATCACGAAATAGGTATTGTCTCAAAAACATGAAATATCATATTTTTCGTGAAGTTTATTGAGTGTTCTTCGGTAAAACAATACAATTTTTACGAAATATCAAAAAGTGAAAATAACACAATAATAGTTAAAACTTTTTTTAATATATCAAAAAACACAATTAATCAAGTGCCAAAAACTTACTTTTTTTCGTGAATAATTATAAACATTATAATTTAATACGAGTAAAATTTAAAAATGGTGAGTCAAATGTAAAGTATCAAAATCATATGGTATTAAAATCATATTTTAAGTAGGTATTAAATAGGTAGGTACTTATTTTAGAATAATTATTATTAAAAATAATTTCTATGTATAAACTCATTTAAGAAAAAGTTTTCACGCACTTTAAAGATTGATTGTCAAAACACATTGATGACAAATTTATATAATACCTACTTATATAAGTAAATACAATTAAAAATTTTAAAAACAGGTTACGATCTCAAAAACATTTAAACAATCAAAAACACCATTTTCTGATGTTAAACCTAGTGTTAACCACAATCCACATGTGGATCCAGTGCCGTGCATAGATTTTTTTCTAAACAATCGCTAATATAAATTCTTAAAAATTTACTCTCAAAAACTTGTCTTTTTTAAAATATGGTGTTTTTACTTAAAAAATACACAATAAATAAAGATTTTACAGGGGTGAGCCGCAAACAAATGGGTATATATTAGATTAAAACACATTTTTTTTCAAATTTTTTAATCACACTTAAATAAAATATCTAACCCCCCTGGAATATTCCAACTTTTTCAATGTTATAAATGTTTTCACACTTAACTAAAATGTCTAAGGCTTCTTTTGAAATATTTGAAACAACATTTTTTGATCTTCAAGTTTTAAATGTGTCATAAACACTTTTTTAATTTTCACGATTCATTTAAAAAGTATGTAGATTAAAATATTAAAAACACTTTTTAAGTCGAAACTCATTTTTTTCAAATCAAAAACCCATTTTAAAATACTAAAAACTCAATTAAAACCATTTTAGAAAGTCTAAACTTCGAATTGTCAACCTATTTTATAACACAAAACATATTTAATGATATATTCTTTGCTAGATAAAAAAAATTACAAATTGCCTTTTTTATTTTTTAATTAAGCTGGACGACGGACGAGTCGAACTGGCTAAGGAAAGAGGAAACGGGCGACCCGATGCTATGCGGTAACGTGACGGGCTCGCGGCACTGCCCGTGGAATTACACGTGTCTTTGCGTGGGCGAAAATCCGAACCACGGTTACACAAGCTTCGACAATTTCCTTTGGTCCATGCTGACCACCTTCCAGCTAATCACACTGGACTACTGGGAAAACGTCTATAACATGGTATGTATGATTAACGTATACGTAAAGTTACGGTGAGATGTAAGCTACCTCTCGCCTATGTTGTGTTTTTTGTGGGCTATATAAGGGTTGGAGTATTCGTGGGATGTAGGATGCATCTCGCTGGTGTTAGGATTGTTTTTGAGTATATAAGGATGTTTTTAAGTAGTTTTTTTGTTTTAGGTGTTGTCGTCCTGCGGTCCAATAAGCGTATCCTTTTTTACCGTCGTAGTGTTTTTTGGTTCCTTTTACCTAATTAATTTGATGCTGGCTGTGGTGGCTCTTGCTTACGAGGAAGAGGCCGAAATAACGCAGGAGGTAAGTAAAAATGCAATATTTTATAAATGTGCGCGGATTTGTAAAATAAAAAGGTTTTCGAACGTAGTCAGCGGGCCCGCCTAAAATTTATAGTATTGAATTGCTACCTTTGATAAAGGGAATCTATACGATTTATTGTCCCTCATAAATTTCGTAATTTTCTTTTTTTTTTGTATTTCCTGTTTACTGCAGCAAAGTTAAATATTTTAAAAGCCAGGCAAGCGTTTGTTATACAACAAAGACGTGACAGGATTTTTTATTATACAAGGGCCCTTGACAATAAATGTTATAATATATTAACGTTGCGCTTGTGGCGATGTGTCTTGATTCTCTTCAATTGAAGTAAACAGTATCAACATTAAATTTTAGAGAAAATTTACTTAATATTTTCTTTGTCTGCAAAAGTTAATAGTTTTAAGTTGGCGCTTTTTTTAACAGCGCACAGTGGGCTGGAGAGCCAATTTATCGCGCAGAAATTATTTGGTTAAGTAATTCTTAGTTAATATTAATTTTTTATTGATTTTTTAATTCTTATTGATGAAATTTTAATAACAATTACTTTCTACTACCAATAGAAAAACAAAACCTCAATATAATACTTTAACAACAAAAGTATATTTGTGTGATGGCAAAATTAAGATCTATAGTTTTAATGAGTAAATTAAAAAAATATAACTGAACATTTATAAAATAAAACCTATTTGTTACGCATGATAGTATTTTATACAATAATATTACTTCTGGCCTTTCAGCGTTTTTCTATATTTTTTGAAAAAAATTAAATTTAAATTAATTTTTCCGAGATCCATTTATTTTTGTAAATGCATAGTCTACTAAGTAATTTAAAACCAACTTTCTATTAAAATGCTTCAAACAAAAAATATTTGTGGCGCCTAATAGCACTTGATTTTAGATTTATTTAAAAGACAGAACAGTAAGCTATTAAAAACACTTAACAGAGAGTGTGAGAATGCGTGACATTTTTTAAAACGTTAGTATTGTTCATACATACATAAAAAATATGCAGCGCTTTCTTTATTGACGTAGGGACAGTACAATAATTATAAAAACTTACCAATATTTGTTCCAGCCATAACGTATTGAATACAATGATGGTCAAAAATTAAAAATAAATTAGGAATTAACATTGTAAGAGAAGCAAAACCTTCACCCGCAATTTACCAACACAAAGCAAGTAATTATAATTCTTAAACTTTGAGTGTTTACCTGATAAAAATTCAACAGATTTGAAGGTGATATAACATTATTTAATTTGCTACAGATATTAAACAATTTAAAATTCACTAAATTTTGTCGAAATAAAACACTTACTTATTTTGAATTTCTTCGCGCTGGAAGCGCGCTCTAGCCTACCGTGGTAGTGCCAAAAAGTATTAATATTCACTAATAGTTATCAGTAATTAATTCAAAATTATTTATTGTTATTAGTAGCTTTTTAATTGATGGTTTCCATCACCAATGTTTAACAATATTTATTACAATGATATTTGTTCTGGGCTTCCAGCGTTTTTCCATATTAAAAAAAATTGAAATAAAATATAAATATAAAATAAACAAACCATATTTGTTGCGCCTACTAGCACTTGATTTAAGATTTATTTGAAAGACAGAACGGTAAGCTATTAAAAAAACCTAAACACAGAGTGTGACAGTAAGTGACATTTTTTAAAACCTTAATAATGTCCATACATACATTAAAAGTATGCAGCGGTTTCTTAATTAAGGTAGTGACAGTACAATAATAATAAAAACTAACCATTATTCGTTCCAGCCATAACGTATGACAACATTTAATACAATTATAGTCAAAAAGTAATAATAAATTAATAATAAACATTGTAAGAGAAGCAATACCTTTACGCGCAATTTATCAAAACGAAGCAAGTAATTATAATTCCTAAACTTTGACTGGTTACCTGATAAAAATTCAACAGATTTGAAGGTGATTTAAAGATGTTTCATTATCAACAGATATTAAAGAATTCAAAATTCCCTAAATTTGGTCGAAATAAAACACTTACTTATTTTGAATTTCTTCGCGCTGGAAGCGCGCTCTAGCCTACTGTGCAGCGTATCAAATACACAAACAAATGTTTCAAGTAACTTTTTTATTAAAACTTAAAAATAGGATATTGCAGTTAAAAATGTTGATTTTCAATTTAGGAACGTAAAAAAGAACTGGTCGACCATCGCGAAGACTCCACGTTCAGTTTCGATCCTTCAAGTTTGAATGTGAGGAAATTATCGAAACAAAAAATTAAAAAGATCGACGCCCGAAAAGGCGTTCTTCTGTCTTCGTACACAAGAAAAAAAACGAGACGAAGAAAACGAAATAGGAGCACAACAATCCAAACGAAATCTGGAGGAACATCTGAAAATTCCAAAGAAGACGGGAAAGACAGTAACAGGTCTTCACCGAAACAACAAAGGTAAGAAATATGATTATATTATTAGTTGTTTCCATAGCATAAAAACTACAAATCCCAATGATTTTTTATATCATATTAAAATAAACAATAAGGGAAATCTTTATCAAATAACATTATCCAGAAGTGCTCCATCGCGTTTTCCACTGGAGCTCATTTGTCTTACAAATAATAATAATCCATTAAGAATACTTAATATTACATGAAAGAAAGACATTCAATTTTCTTAGTTTCTTAAATAAACTTTCTTGATACATTACTGGTAATATTAATAATAATTGAACCTACACCTCAGCAAAGTTTTTTGTTTTGAGTGCGTTCCACCAACTTTAAATACCGACAGACAGCTGTTTCGACCAATATTGGTTCTCATCAGTGTCGGGCAACTTGGTGTAGTGGACCACACCCAAAACAAAGGACTACCTGAGCTTATATACTGCGTTGGTAAGCCAACAGAGGCGAGATGTAAGAACATCACGTGATCCACACCGTGTAACGACGTGGTCGTAATCGGAACATACTAGGCAACACACGGCAAATTCTATTACAGATACTAATATGGCCTAAAGGCCCAAACGGGCTAAACATTCAATTTTCTTAGTTTCTTCGAAAAACTATCTCAACCCATTACTGGTAATAATTGAAATTGATTTAATTAACTTGGAATTTACGATATACATAAAACATTCAATCGGATCCCTTTAAATCACCACATATCTTCCATTTATGATCTTCGTATTGGTATGGATGGTTTTTTATTCCCATTATGTAAAAAGAGAGCCTTTAAACCATCAATAAATATTCTTCATTCATTTTTTTCATATGGTTGGTTCATTTTTTAAAATAAACCTTGAATGTCTTTACAGTAGAGAATAGTGTTTTTCTTTTCAAAATATGCAGCCAATTTCAAGCTTCTTTCTCTATAAAATGGTACTTTTGTCCCAACTGAAAGATGTTTCCATTGTTGCATACGTGAAGCCAATAATTCTGCATCTTGCTTTGATAAATGTAAATCACGAACTAGATCATTCAGTTCAGCTTGAAACACTAAATGGCATTTATCATCAGGCTCATACAAACTACCACTGCTGGAAACAATTTCATTGAAAGATGATTCCGAATCACTGCTTGTAGTACTATAGTACAGTACTCTTATAAGAACGACTAGCAATGGAGCATTTGGTAAAAGTTGATCTGGTTTTGAAACAGATGAAACATTTGCGTTTTGCACACTTTTTTGATTTTTCATATTGATCCCAACAACTTTTCTTAAACAAAAATAAAAATCGGTTTGGTGATTACTTTGCTCCATATTACTGGAACTGAAAAATCGAAATATTTTTTTGCCATTCGACCACTTGTATAAAATAGCTCTGAAACTATTAAAAAACAATAACGGTGTTTTGTCTAAATTTCTGACAGTAAAACCAAAGTAATGTAAATATGCATATTTCAATAAGTAGTTCTGTTATTGCATATCCTTTTTTTCCAACTAAATAGTCAATAAAGACAAAGCAGAAATAGCTTGGATTAGTAATACACGATCTACTTGACATACTTAATCACTATTATTATAGAGATAGAGAAGAAATGCCGTTTTTCGTCAAATTACTTTACACTAGCGCCACCATGCGGCATTAAAAGAACTAGACCTGATAGCTAGACCTTTGGCGGTAAATTTAAATTCTGCAAACCTAAATTACTTAAAAAACATCCTCCTTTTTTCCAGTCAATTTTTTTTCTTTAATTTGTAGAACCGTGTTATTAGTACAAATACGTTTCATTTAATTTTTCGGTTCAATTGAAAATGTTGATACCCAGTTTTTTATCAAGACGGCAGGACCAAAGGCCAGGGCTGAACTATGCATGAATCGCCATTTTTTATTTAACAAAAAGAAAAATTTTAAAAGTTTTATTAGCATTAGATTTTAAGTTTGTTTTGTGGGAACCCAACTTTTAATGTACTTTTTAGTAGACTTTTTAACTATTTTTTTGGTGTACAATTTGTGACTATTGAACGTTTTATAAAAGCTTTTAACTCTGAGAGATTTTCATTGAAATACGTACTACTATAGTCGGGAAATATTTAGTGTAAGCGGATTATAAAATCGACTTTATAAAATGATACTGGGCATTAAACGTTAAAATCCCTTGATATAAAAAAAGGTCATAAACAATACGAATTCGTATTTAAAGTAGGTAAATACGCGTGGATACGCATATACGCATAGGTAGCTAAGTATGGTAAAATATTTTTTTCAACTGGTGGAAATTTTACTTTTTCCACTAGTAGGCGAAATAGCTTTTTGCCTACGGGCTGACGTTAGCTTTTGGTTAAATTTGGAAAAAAGTGAGTTTAAAACTAATTGACAGCTGTCAAATGTCAGATAAAATATCAAATAAAATTGGCTTTAAATTTATTGAACTTGTTAAATAAAATATTATGTGAGTGTTAAATTCCACGCTCGAGAAATCTCCTCCCACTAGTCGCACAATATACGCTAAAGAAGCATCGCTAGTAGCTCCACCATGTGGCCGTCATTATCGTAAACAGAATTCAGCTTTTAATAAGCATCTGTCAAACGCGTATGTTACAAACGAGTGTTTTTGAGAATAAAGCCGGAAAATGTTAAAAATATCGAAAAAAAACCGTGGCATGATTTGTTGTGTTGTAGGGTGTTTTTCGAGAGGAAATCATGGGTTGAGTTTTTACCGGTTTCCCAATAACAACAGTGAAAATCCGAAAAAGAAAATAAATTGCATACAGTCCCCTTAAATATAAATTGTACCTATACGCTAAAGAAGTATCGCTGGTAGCGCCACCACTCGGCTGTTATCATCGTAACAAAAGTACAACTTTTAATGATCAGCTGCCAAAAGCTTATGTTACAAACAAGTGTTTTTGAGAATAAAGCCGGAAAATGTTAAAAAATATCGAAAAAAAACCGTGGCACGATTTGTTGTGTTGTTGGGTGTATTTCGAGAGGAATCCTGGGTTGAGTTTTTACCGGTTTTCCAATAAACAGTGTTTGAATGAAGAAATAAATTGCATACAGTATCTGTAAATATAAATTGTACCTATTAGATACAATAAATACACATTTTAGTAGTGATTAACGTGAAAAGTGTAAACATTTCAATTCAGTAAAAATCGTCAAACAAATAAGTCATCTACATTTAAACAGCATTTAGCATTATTAAAAGCGTTGATTAAGAATTCTTTAAAGTCTCCACTCAATGGTAAAATACCATTATATTATTAATAGAATAGAATAGATTTTATTAGTTCAAAATATTGCAGTGTTTACAATGTTGAACACGTCAAAAAACATAGACCACCAAAACAAATGGACGGATTTGTTTACGTTTAAAAAGCGAGTAAAGCATAGTTTCACATTCTAAACACCGTCGAAAGAAACACGGCTTCCAACGTTGTCAGAAGTATAGATTACACGCCTTTTTGGACGTTCATCATAACATAATGAACATTAATAATTACCAGTAATTCGTTAAAATAATAAAAAAATTGTAAAAAGGATTTGTTCATCATTTTCTTTAGATATTTTTCTCTATTTAAAGAAAGTAAATCATTTAATAATTATTAAAATTAAATATTAACAACGTTGGTAAATTCGTCATATTTGACAGCATAGAAAAAGGTTGACAGCTTGTTGTTTTGTGTTTTAGTTTGTGTATTTCTATCGTGTTTAAGTTAATTATGGAGTTTAAATACATTATTTTTTACTAAAAATAACAATACATGGAAATATCATTTGTAAGTACCTACCTACTTATTATTTTTTTAATCCCAATACGTCACTGGAAGAAAACATAAAATTCTATCGCCAATTTAACGCTTAGACTGTGACCGTTTGTTGACGTCACTGGAATAAAACATAAAATTCTATCTCCAATTTGACGCTTAGACTGTGACCGTTTGTTGACCGCAAACAAAGCATTGTTATTGAATGGCAATGCGCCGTCCATTTGTTTTGGTGGTCTGTGTCAAAAAACAATACATAAATATTATAAAAAGTAAATATAAACAAATACAATAAATACATTTAACTTAAAAAAAATCATCAACACAGTAATCACATCTGTTTACTAGATATGCTTTTAAAGAATGTTTAAATTCCTTTAAATTTTGGTCTTTAATAGTTCTCTATCCATAGTATCAAAGGCTTTAGTTTAGATAAGTCAAAAAAGGCAGATAGATACTGCCAGGGTCTTGCTATTCCAAAGGTCTATGATTCTATCAATAACATTGAAAATTGCTAATTCCGTATTACTACCTTTAACAAAACCATATTGATGTTTAGAAGTTATGGAATGTTTATTACAATATTTTGTTAATCTTGTAGATATTGATATTTCTAAAGTTTTTGAAAAAATAGGTAATAAAGAAATAGGTCTATAGTTATTAACATCAGTTTCAGGACCTTTTTTATGCAAAACCCTGACAATAGCCAACTTTAGACTATCCGGAAAAATACCATTTTGAAAACAAAGATTTATAATATGGCTAAAAGGACTTGCTATTATATGTGCGCATCTTTTAATAATAGTTCATCCCAACCAGTGGATTTTTTATTTTTTAGATTATTTATAATGTTATACACTTCAACAGCATTTGAGGGGTATAAAAACATATTTGAGTTAATGCGTGTAATGTTCACGGAAAGAAATGTTATGATAAAATTAATCAAATCCATTTATTAATTTAAGAAAAGTCAAAAATTATCCTAAATAAATTAGTTTAATCTAAAATAGAATAAATCAAGAAAAAAACTGACAAATCTTAGTGTTTTACGATAAATCTGTACATTTCGCAAATGATTAATATCATCATATTAAAATTAACATCATTAGATAGACATAATCGTTTAAGTGCTACATTTAATAAATTTTTTTCTAGGAACAGTAAAATTTTAGATTGGTCACAGAAAAAATTTTTCTTAAACCAATCAAACATTAAGATTGGCTTTATGTAACGTTAAGCT